TTCCCTTCTCAAGTACTGAAAAATACCTTGGTGGAAGGTCATAGTTCTTAAAAAAGAAAAATAACTCAAGCATTTATCCTCCTAATACATGCTAGAGAATTTTTAAATCATGACTAAAAATCATGTTTAAGTTGTTCAATTATTACAAAAATCTAATGTATATTTTGAAAAGCGTAGGGCCTTTTATATAGTACTAGACTGTCAAGTACCCAGCTCTCAGAGAAAATTTGGCAAATTGAAGAGGCCACAAAATGTTACAGAAGTATCACAATTTAAACTAGCATTAGTCATCCTCCTCCTGAAGAATCTCTCTGTCCAGGTTAATGTGAAACATATTTTAAAACTTTTAAAACCAGTTCTCAGGAAGAGCATTTGAGATGAAACACCCAATATAACCCTATGAAATGATGAGCACCTTTAACTCAGTTGGTTTCACAGGGGACACAAAATACTCCAAATCTCTTAAGAATGCCTAAACATACGTAACAGATCCTTACAAACCTCACTGTCAAAAACTGATGAACTGTAACAGCGGCTTGGAGTTATTTAGCATTTGAGAGCAATAATGGGTTTAATCTTCTGAATTTACCTGATTAGCTGCCATCGGGGAGTTGTTTTTCACCCACTCTTCCACTATCTTTACCACTGCACGAAGAATTTTGGCATCCGTAGATTTTTCAATGAGAGATGTCAGAATAGCTTGTATGAAATTTTTCCTCATTTCCATGCTCATCACAGCCAGGCGAGTTTTCACAAGATCCAGGCTTAGCATTACCAGCTCACTTGTACCTGCTATGGATGTAAAAAAAAGGATTACATTGTGAAAGCACCTGTAAAACACCTAGTAAAGAAGTTTTCAAGATAGGCTACTGTAATTTTAAAAATAGCTACAACAATATCTGTTACTTGGCAATATATCCCTAGAAATAATGTTTTCAGAACTACTACTTTCCATTCCTAAGCAACTGAGAGAGACTCCTTCCCAAAAAAGCCAAATCCATTCAAAATCCTAAAGGCAAGCCTGCGTGGTTTCATTTTGGTAAAAGGTATTACAGAACCCCAGTGCTGAAAAACTGCAATTAAACTTGTGAAAGAAATACTATAATGATGCAGCATACATATTCTGCCTGTTAATTTCCTGACTTGCTTATCTGTCAAGTTTAATAATTTTCGAATAGTTTCTCAGTGTTAATAAAATTTGCAAGCCTCTCATTTACCTAATTAAAATATGGGCTGGAATCTAACAGCAGCAATTCTTCCAAAGTATTTTTGTCAGTGGCTTATTCATTAATAAATTACCGTGCTCTTTACTAGCACTGGCTTTTCTTCTACAACAATGTCTGACTTTTTTCAATGACTCATGGCATAACTCATCTGATGATAGACAGAATTGTATGGACTGAAAAGGATGCTATTTTAAGATAAAGACAAGCATCTGCTCCAACAACTTAATTTCAAGCAGTTGTTCCAATATTAGCAAATAGCAAGGAATTAAAAAAAAAAAAAGCAAAAGCAAAAAAATTCAGCCCCTCTACCCTGAACTCTATGAACTCTTGAAAAATGCCAGCATTTCCATGCTGTAGCACATACTTCTGATCATTAACATCCTCAGACTGTGTAATGTCATACCTGTATTTGCTTCTGCTGTTCCTGCTGTAGCCTGTGGGTTTAGGTGTTCCCTGACCATCTTCTGCAGAGACCGCATGAAAACCGAAATCAGCCTGTCAATATAGCTGGGATTGTTACTGCACGCTGACTTCAGAATCATTAAAGTACCTATAGAAAAACACAATACTTGAGTAAATCTTTTACTGAGCATGACGTAACATAAGATGGATGTTTTCAATGTGGATGTTCTTTTTTTATGAAATGAAACAGAAAAATGTTCCAGCTGTATTTTGTCCAGCCAAGGAAGAAGCATGGGAGAACCCAAGTTAAACACTACAAATCTGGATAGATTTGAAGAAAAGTTTCAGTATCAACTTTGGTATAAGACTAAAATCATATTTTTGCATTAATCAAAATATTTGAAAGTTCTGTAGATAAGTGTATGATAGAGGGCAAGGGGGAGAAAGGGAGGACAGAAAGAGGTGTATTGAGAGCAGATACTTCTCCAAGTCCTATGGGAAAAAAAAAAAAAAAGAAAAAAGAAATACAGTTAACCAGGTAAAATGAAACTACTCCTCATGCTGCACATTAGCGTTCGTAGCAAAATGTAGCAACACTGTTAGGTTTAGGTAGGCCTGGGTTTAGTGACCAAAAATAAGATTTAAAAATTACACAGTCTGCATGTTCTGATCTAAAAACTTTATGAAAACTTTCAGAAGTTCATAAATAAGTTACAGTAGATTGAAAAGCACTATCAAATCAGGTGATTTCGGCACAGCCTATGAACGCATGACACCTGCAAGACCACAGTCCCTTCAAGTCACACTGAGTTCGTAACGGCGCCTATCTTAATACAAGCTTATCCATATACATCCAAACCAATCAGTTTTAGCAATATCTATGCTTTGGAATACCTTAAAAAAGTTCCTGCGCCTTGTCAAACTGTACCCGCTAAAGCATCCACAGCCTCTCCTTACTACGGCGTCACCATCCAAGAAAAGCCCCTGACCATATTTATAGAGGCACGCTTTGTTCGCTGAATAGCTGCTGCAAAAGCTTTTATTTCTTTTCCTGCTCAGATGTGCACAAAATCTGTCACGCAAAGTTCAGCCTCAGACACACAACTCGCAAGATTTGCACCACCCGACAGCTAGACTGGAGTGCTGCTTCTAAGTGAGCGCTGGGCACAGCGTCAGAAACATCCTGGGGAGTTGGTCGTCAAGCTCGCCCTGACATCTGACAGACAGGCAATTCCCAAAGCGGAATTACACCCATCTGTACAGACCACAGACTAGAACAGTGAAGGACATTTGCCATTTAAATCAGCAAGTTCTCCAAAACTGTACAGTTTCAGGTCTGTATTATGAACAGTTCTGGGCCAAACTGGATTACACAGATATATCCGCATCATTATATTACGTAGTTGAGCTCTCTACCACTTAAATAAGTACGAATAACAAGAAAAGAAGAACATTTCAGCTCTTCAGTATAGTATATGCTAAAAATTCAGATTTGCTCACTCAAGAAAGAATTGTATTTTTGCAATTTCTTACCTAGTGGGCATTCAAGATAGAGAAGTAAGTCTTCCTACATTATTTAAATCAGGTGATAAGTTAAAAAGTAAAAAGGCAATAACGTGCAAGAATGTTTACATGGATTCCTTGAAATATCCTATTGTATCTCACAGCAGTACCCACAGGATTTGGGTTTTTCCATGTAAAAAGTTTCCAGTTAAGTTTTACTTTAAATTTTGGTTAATCTGAACGCAGCATCTCTTCCCTATGCACTCCGAATACACAGGGCTTCCATCCAGCACAGCTGCAGCTCCCCACTTCCAATAACTGCTCCCAAGTCAGCTACCGGGAAAAGACAGAACGCACTGAACCCTCCCAGCTCCTTTTTCACAACCCACATCCCAAACTCATCTCTCTAGATGGCTCCAAATGCTTCCTGCAGCTTCCTCCGCATTAGATCAGATTTCAGTTTCCTTATGGAAACCAAAACCTCATAACGAAGAACACATTCACGGGCTCGACATACATCCATGAGAGATGTGGGAAGCTTACCGAAGAGCTGGGAAGGGTTAGCATTGGTGGCTTTTTCATAATTAGTAAGTCCTTCATAAATAACCTTTCCAACTGCAGCATAAAGGCACTCCAGCTCTTCATACTTCGAAGCTACACTTGAGGTACCTGCAGAGTTTTGAGAACTGCGTTTACTTTCGGTAACATTAGCCATGGAACAGGCAAGGAACAGCTACACTGTGAACATACCAGAACATAAACTTGCTAATTAACCAAGATAGCACAAGCAGATCCCTTATTTACATCAACCTCTTTATTATACAACCAATGTGTCTTCTATAGTAGTGTACCACTATTTCTAAATAACTCACGTTGTTGAGGGGTCTTAGATTACTGATTTTCAAGAAAATATTATCGAAGTTAGTTTATATGAAGACATGTCCTACTACCTATTGTCTTTCTTTTTACACTCTCCCTTCCTTGTTTTAACAAAAGAGCAAAGCTTAACTAATAAAAAAAACCCACACTTCTGAGGCTGAAAAATTATAATTGCAAAAATACTTTAAATTTATAGCATGCATCTCTTGAATGGAAGTCATGACAGCCACAGGTTATTAAGTTTTTATGTCAATGGATAATGATATATTCCACATGATTACTTATTTCAGCTTCTCATTTTTTGAACAGAGGTTGAAAGTGCAAGCTAAAACGGACCATTAAATGCAGGAATCTTAAAACAGAATATTAGCACATTCCACAGAGGTCTACACCACGCCCTTAAAACACTTAAATTATGCAGCAATAAAGGATAAAAGGAGGAAGAAAATTTTGTACTTGGTTCTTGAGTGAAAATACCCATCAAGCGAGAAAGCAGGCTGTGGACTGCTCTCAAAACCTTGGTGTTCCCACACGTCATACAGGCTGCTACACCTCGCTGCAGGGGTTTGAAGCTGCTAAGGACAGCTGGGGGCTGCAGTACAGTTAACAGGAAACTTAAGACCTCTAAGCCAGTGCAAATGTTGGCAAAGTTGGCCTGATTGGGTTGTTCCTAAAGAGAACATACACAAAAAGGCAGTGAGGGGGGGAAAATCACACAAGTAATACACAGAAGAGTAAGTCCAGGTCACATCTGCTAAAAACCTGCAATAAGGTTGAGGTTTCTACACCACCCACATTTCACTTCTTGGGCAAGTCATGCAACATAAAACTGTGAAACAAAAGGCACTATAAAATCTCAGTTTTCAAAGCTGCCCCCAGACTTGCTGGTTAGAAATACTTTCAAAAGAGCATAATTTTTCTCCCCCTTTGTCAACATCTTTCCGAGAGAGGCCTTCAGGGACGAGCTAAAACAGTATATGCTATGATAAATTATAGCTTAGAAAAGAGGGTATTTAGAACTAAATTGAAAAAAGAAAAAAAAAATATTCCTAGACATATCTTTTTAAGCCTACAAAACAATCATTAAGAGAGAAAATTAGTCTGTTTGCTGCAAAAGCATTATTCTTTTTTCTGAACCTCCCGTACAACTGACACCACATAGTGCAAAATTAAGATATGAAATTCCTGTTTACTTGTATTAAGTAAACATCAACTACATCCACCATCCTCAGGTCTGAGGGCTGGTACAGTGCGTTTGTTTTGAGGTGAGGGAAAACGTGGAGCAGGCCAGGTTTTGATTTTGGCTTGCTCTTAGACACAGTGCACTTTCTCCACCTTCCTCCAGATCATGAAAGATGATAAACTGCAAGATTTGTTTGAAAAGCAGAGGAAAAGACATAAAAGTTCATGTTCTGGAAGCATACAGACTCCTGGAATTACATGCTCATGTTGTTTCTACACCTCCACCATCTTCCCCTCTGTTCCAGAAAGGGCGGGCAACACCGGTCTGTACATAACACACGGCTCTTCTTCAGCAGCCAGCACACAGATACTCACAACCGTCCCCAGCTTCAGCGCAGAGAAATCACTCAAAGCCATGAGTTTCCTGAAGTCATACTGCTGTTACTGCACAGCCTTCATCACCTGGCACCTAACAGCTTTGCAACAGTCTGAGGGAGGAAGGCGAGGAGGAGGTAATCCTCGTGCAACCCTGGTCAGAACTGACTACAGTTCTTCCAGCTGTAGGCTATCAAATCCAGCGGCAGGAAAAATCACTCAGCCTGCACACTACTTGGGAAAAGAGGAGTAAAGCAACAAGTATGAGCTCCCTGGAGCACTATCAATACTTGTAAACCCAAAACAAATGGAGGCACGTCAGAAACGCTTCCAGTGGAAGGAGAAAAGGATGAAAGTAGATACTTGCCCTTTCAAGGACCATCTCCATAAAGACAAGAGCGTTATGAAAGTATAGCACATTATTATATGGCAAAAAGCACACAAACAGCGTACAGGTGATAAACAAAACGTGTTGTATCATCAAATACAGAAAGTTAGCCTTTCAGTGAAATTTGTATTATGATAATATAGTCAGAAAACCAATAAAATCAATCTCAATTGGTACAACTTCATACTAACAACAACAAAAAAATCCCATACCAACAAAAAACACCAAGCAGCAGGCCATCCAAACATGCAAATTACAACCTATGTCAAAATAAAAGTAATGCAGGAAGTTACTGTATTTGTTGCTAAGTCTATCTGTAAGGACTGCAGCTATATGAGTTATAACCACTGATGCAATTCACATATTTTAACAATTTATGTATTTCACTACAAAGAAGAGAAGATTAAGACTGTAAAAATCTGTATCCAGGTATCATTAGTTTTCACTACGTGCTGGTGCAACCTGGAGACCTACAGGACTAGTGTGTTACTTACCACAGTCATTAGCAGTTTATCAAACCATTGCAACTTCAGTTCTGACTTTGGCCACATGTCTGGTCGCAAAGCTGTTTTCAGAAGGTTGACACAGCGGCGAGACAGCAATTCCCCAGGAGATCCAGCAGTGTTTGAGTTGTCATTTACCTAGCAATTAATCAGAGTTAACAAAATGACACCCTTTTGTAACCAACTCATTAATTTATGATGCATTCCAAGCAAGCATATAATTTCTTATTTCTGAAACAGATAAGCTTAAGTAGTTTTATCAGTACAGTCACAGAGCATTTAACTGCTTAAAAAGCTGACAACTAACAGTAAACATCACAACTGGTGTCTGAACTGCTAGCTAGTTACCCCAAATCACCCTTCAAAGGTATATTAAAAAAGTTTAATCCCACACATTACTACAACTCTGAACATGCTCGCGATGGTTAATCCTTTCTGTTTGCACGGTATTCATAAACATAGGTAGCTCTTTATTCGGTTCATCTTTATACTTCAAGAGCACATCTAGTGTGTGCAATGGACTGTGGTGTGTAAAACCCCACATTACTTACCAGCAGAGTCTGCTGCAGAGCAGAAGTCATGAAATTTGTCAGCTTTAAGCTACACCTAGCTAATTTTCTCCATTCTAGAAAAGTTAATTATTGAAAAAAAAAAAAAAGTGAAAAGCTTTAGTTCTGCATGCTGCATAAAAAGAAGTGATTCCATGTATTTGATCTTGAAAATACAACCTCTAAATAATCTTCAGATTTTCATCAAATCTAGGCAACACAACAAGTATAGTTTTCAGCATCAGGCAAATATATAAATGAATTAAGAAAAGCACTTTCTGTGAACTTTCTGAAACCTTTCCCTGGCTCCAGCCAAATTCTACTAGCCACATTTATTTCAAGCATGTCGCTCCTGATATAGTACTTGCTTGAAAAGATAAAGTAATGAACTAACAAAATGCTCTAAGTGATCAACAGTACAGTAGAATCTAGACTCCATCAATTTCAAAATCTGGATTGTAACCATTTACAATGAAGTTTCAAAGTGCATGCTCCCTGCACCAAGCTGTAATTGTACAATGCCTTTCGTGAATAATATCCAGCATTTGTGACATGAAAAACATGCAGAAACTGGTTATCAATTTCTTTCCTCCTTATTTTATTTTACTTCATGTACAATTCTGCATTGAAGTTTCTAATCTTTTAGCACAACAAAATATACAAACACCAGAATAATCCAAGCACAACGGGACTCTTGTGAAGTGAGGGGTTTATGGTTTTGGCTACTAATGCTGCATTGGTATTTGCATATCAGAATAAACACAGTACCTGGCAAGCAATTCTAATCAAGAAATTCACGACTGTATCTGTGTGCTGCTTGTCAATCGGCTTGGAAAGAAGTGCATCAGCTCCTGGCAAGGACTGGCTACGTCCAAATACCTGCACGTACACCACACACAAAAGCCATAAGCAACACTGCAGAAGGATAACAACAAGCAGAAGAGACTTAAAATATTTTCTAAAAGTATAACCTTCAAGTCAGGGAGTTTAGAGTTATGCGGAGAAAAACAAGTACAGTAAATTGCTTAGTCAACACAGGTTATACTATCAGAGTCTCTGAACAAACGTTGAATTTTTCTTACAGCACTTATCGCTCCTGTAGCTGTCCTGAATCGTTTTACTTCTTGGCCAGAATCAATAGACAATCCTCTTTTAACAGCAGATGAGGCAGAACTTACTCCTTCTCCACTTGCTCCCGAATCCATATCTGAATCTGGCTGAAATATCGGCAACGAGCATGTTAAAGAAGCATTTCACCGTATAACAGTTCAATTTTTACCAGTTTATTTAGACTTCCTACCTGCTGGTCTTTAATTCTTTGCAATTCCCATTTAATAACTACTTCAGCAAGATCCACAGCTAATTTTCTTTGCTCTATCGTAACACTGGGAGTGAAGCCCAGTCTCTGCATGGCACTAACCATATGCTGCACCAAGTGATGTCTCACTGGATAATAAACCTGAAAAGATGTTTTCACAGTCATGTTAGCCATTAACCAATAAAACTGTACTCAGAAACTACAGAGTTGAAATAAAGCAAAATGGTTAAATAGCCTTTAATCCCAAAAAGTCTGCTAACTCTTTACCGTGCTCAAATTCTGGAGTCCAGAAAGGTAACTGGGGTTTTGAAAATAAAATTTTGGCTACAATTTTCAGTAGTGACTACTGATTTCATGTACCCAAATGAAGATGCTGTTTTGAAGAGAACTGATTTTCCTCGCGGAACAATCATTCCAACACTCGGGAGCTACAACTCATATCTGAACACACTCAGGTATTCTTTCAAAAGGCACTGGGGCATCGATTACTGAGAAGTAACTTAAATGCAAATTAGCTAACTGTCACTTCAGATCATATTTTAGTATGCATTTTCAAAAAAGCTCCTAGGTTGACATTCTGCAGCATTCCCCATTTGTTTAAAGTTTCCCAACATTCATTAGCTGGAGACAAAAAAGTTACCTAGTTAATCCCACAGAATATATAAAGTCAAACAAACAAGGATGACTGGAGGATGAGGAATAGGGTTCAGCAATTTTTTTTAAACAACTCTCAGAATCTTCCCAGCGCCACTGAAGAGCACTGCTAACGCACATGCAATGACTGGCAGATTTCACCTAACATTTTGAGTCCTAACTTCCATCATGGTAAATTTTAATAATTGGTTTGCTATTTAATAGTTGTTTTCTGTTTCAATAAATACCTTTGCAGACAGCTGATGCCTTTTGAAGGTAAACCATTTAAATCCAATCGTTATTTCCTAATCACACTGCAGTTTACCTCCTTGGTATTAGAGATACAGTGACTACCAGAATAACTGGTGCAAGTACCTTGAAATGTTGTACTATCAAGTGCAAAATATGTACTAGTTGGGGAACCGTATGACCCTCTTCCACAATGATTTTTCGTGTCCAGTGGGTCAGCATCTGATGACCATCTTCCATGCGAGCAGGCACAGCTGGAGTCAGAATAGCCATCGCTTGCCTCACAATAGCTCGGGCCTCCATCGCATGAGCTTTCAGAAGACTGTGAAAAACCTAAAAAGCAAAGAAAGAGAAACTGCAACATACGTACTCTAAATAGCACAATTATCTCCTAAAGGCCCATAATTCGTTAAATATTAATAATACTTCATCAGAAGTATACAGTGTATGCTTCAGTCTCCCTGAAGTTCCCTTTTTCTTCCTCCCGCTCCACTGTCCAGTTTGGAGTTTTCCTTTGGTCCCCAAATTCTGTCTCAACTGAAATGTCTGTCTCTTAAATGGAGAAACATTTTTCATTTTGTTAATTCAGCCAAAGGCACTTTTCATTGTCACATTTGCTCTCTCTCTTTTCACTTATCTTGAAACTTCTTCCCATTGCCAAATAAATTTGTATTAGTATTTGGCTTGCTGCTTCTGTTTGTTGCATGTGAGTTTGTTACTTCTACACTAAGTATCCAAAACTACTGTACACCCTCTACTCTGCATTTTAAAACAGAAAAAAAAAAGCACACTGCCGAACTTATCCACATCCCTGAAATGTATGAATCCAAGCCCAAAGTCAATACCTGCAGAACTATCTTCTTATGTATGGCAAATTTTGCAATGATGTGTGCCAGAAGCAAATGTCCACTGTATTTGCATGCTGGGTCCACACAGGCCTTAGACAAAAGGCAAGGCCAAGCAAAGGTCATCAGGCGTCGTAGTTTGCTGTTCCGGTTTTTGTTATTGTCATGAATGTGATGTGGAGCATGCTCAACCAGAAGTGTGGCAAACTGCAAGAGATATATCCTGAGAGAATCCAGCATGTCAGCCTGTTTTTCTGGATCAAGTACCTAGTTCCAAGGATGATCAAAGAGAAGAGAAAATTGAGGAGTGGAAGGGAAGAAAAAAAAAATCTTAAAAGCAAAGTACAATTTTTTTTGCTTTTTGAGTGGTTTTTAAGATGACTAATAACTATAACCACTTCTTTGCTTCAGTTTAATATCCACAAAACAACCTCCTGAGGTGAGAGCTTTTAGATAATGAGCCCATCTAGGAACTTCCAAAGTGCTAACCTATTGTAAAAAAATAAATAAAAAAAACCTCAACCCTCATCTCCAACAACATCTATTTTATAACTGCTGAATGTTCAATGAAATCAAAGTGAATTGCAAAGATACTGATGTTCAGTCATGGAAAGTTTTGCTTATGAAAAAGACTGGGATTACAGCCATAAGACCCATTCCTAAAGACAGACATTCAAGTCCTAAAGATATCAAACACTGAAAATTGCAGTCCAACCCTACTGATGACTGACGGATCTCACAACGGTTCACAGTTAGGACGTGATTTTATATAACCAACCACAGGATTCAGAAACAGCACAGCTAACTCGAATCAGGATTGCAAAGCCAAGGAGAGAAACAAATTTTTGTTTTAATTTTCAACACTCCAATGTAAACAAGGATCGTTACCTTTGTTATGAAAACACTAGTGATGCTTTCTGGATTATCTCCTTCTGGGTTTGGGGGTCCCAAAAGCTGTTCGCCTTCTCCCTTTTCAAAACTGTACAAGAACGCAGGATTCAGGATGTGTTGCAAGACCTGCAGAATATAAACATAAACACGGTTACACTCGACTATGGATTCTTCTAATGGCCATCAACACTCAACTTCCCACACACGCCTGCATGTTAGACACGCTCACTGTGTTACAAAAGGAAGCTGTAAATAAAACCCCAAGAAAGAGATATACAGACATTTTTTCCCCCCTTCCAAGGCCAAAGATTCTTAGAAAGTGTAGACTAGTCAGCACTGAAAGCAAGATGAATTGCTGTCTCTGTTTATTATCACTCTTCTTCAGGTATGATATTTTCATGTAAATGGCTCTGCCAATTATCAAGCTCATTGACATTTCAGCAAGCGAGTTTTGTTGCCCTAGTTCCCAAGAAGAAAATTAAGCCTAAATACCATGCTGCTTTGCTTTAATTGCTTTAGTTACCTTGGCTTTGAGCTCATCTCCAAAGTTTGGGTCATTGAAGTCTACAAACCGGAAGAACAAAGCCCGTTTTTGAGGAATACTGTAGTTTTTGGGGATCTCTTCTTCCATGTATTCCTTTAAGAAAGTCATATTGCAGAGAAATCGACCCGTAAAAGCCCGAAGCAACTGGAAGAGCAACTCTATATCACCGTAATTCCTTCTGTAAAAACACATAAAATAAAAAGCTTCTGTGAATAAAAACCCAACCAAACCACTATGCTGATGACTTGGTGAAGAAACTAATCTTGTTTTCAAATGAGCAGAGACAAGAGCAGGCAGTACCAGAGGCATGGCTTTAGAGCTAATGGCAGCATTACAAAATGTATTAAACTTTCTCTTCAACAACTGCAAGCCATTTTTACTACCCCTGTATACCTTTACAGTATTTTCAAAATTAAAACCGTACACAAGCTATAGCAAATAAACAATGTTTTTTACGTACTTGCAGTAATTCAATAAGCAATATGCTAACAGCTTAGGTTCCTTCCAGTTTGTCGCAGCCATATTCTCCTTACGATGTCTCTCCTGAAAAGCTTCGCTCACCCACACACGTTTCAGCTGATTGACCAAGGAATGTTGATTTGCTAACCAACATTCATCGTTCTTAACAATAATACTTATGATCTGTCAAAAGCAAAACAAGACAAATGCACAGTCAACATGCAACAGATCTGTCAGCAGAAACAATGATATCAGAGTACTTCTTTAAGGTGAATTAAGAATCCTAAAATATTTTTAAAGGAGTCAAATAAAAACTAGTTTAGATCAGGTTTTAAAGAAATTTTTTAAAAACCAGTAAGTTCCTGTTGCCATATTTGCCTTCTGTGTCTTACGTAATTTTAAACAAGTATACTTCATTTGAGTCTCTTTCCCCTTCCTAGTGATTCTGACTACAAACACTACATTTTACATTTGTGTTTTTCTACGAGCTGTAACACATACACACACACTTGAAAGCCTGCATACAACAGGCCTCTAGCTACAGAGGTTTTAATATCGAGTGCAGAGACAAACGAGAACAAGTACCTTGATAGCCTGAAACTGAAGATCAAGACGCATAGTGGTAGTGCTTGGAGAACCAGGCCTAACAGCTGCTTGGGTCCCAACAGGTAACAGCAGAGTGATAAATCGGTTAGGATTAGCTGCCAGTACATCTCGTAGAGGTTTGGCATCTTTATGTTTCAAGAAACTCTGAAGAGAGGGAAGAAATAATTTTAATATCAACCCTTAAAAGCAAAAATACCAAAAGGTTATTTATATCATCCTGTAGCTTTTATATTCCTCACTAAAGTTGCAGAGGTTATATTTCACCAACATAAAAACACCTCGACAATTTCAGTAATAAACTTCTGTGATCTGGAAAGGTATAAAATCAACATCCCAGGACAAACACACACAAAATGGAGAACAGTCACCCTACAGTCAGAATAAGACCATGATTAAGGACTACAGGGTCATACAGGGGGAAAAAAATGGAAAAGACTAAACACTTGTCATTCATCAGGTTTGTGAAGATGAGGGTTTTTTCCCGCTCCCCTCCCCACACAGCTTACCATAAACATTCTGCTCCACTGTGGATCATTTAGAGTGGCTTCCATCATGAACAGCTCCACAGTCTGGGACGGATGGCGTGTCAAAAATTTTATCAGTGGTTCCCTGAATGGACTGCCAGCCTGAAAAATTCATAAAGTTTAAATTAAAAATGCAGAGTGCAGAGTATTTTCCAATAATTAATTAGCACTCAGAAAAATATATCTGACTTAGCATTTATGCAGATATAAAATATTCAAAACTTATACGATGAGAATTTACTGACAATTTCAAAACCTCATTTAAAGAGTCGAAGACAAATGTTAACGTAAAAGTATCAGCAACGTTAACTTCCCCTTTTACCTCAATTAACATTGCTCGTTCTGTTTTCATAACAACTTCCAGCAGAGGTTTAACCAAAGTCTGAGGGGCAGCTGGGATCAGGTGGAATAAATTTATAATTGCTGAACAAATCTTCATTTCCTACAGATAAAAAAAAAAGATTAAGTTAATACTACCAGCTAAATAAATAAAAACAGTATCACACATCCTACCTGTTATTTTTCCCTCTCTATAGCAGCACAGCCAGCAACTAAATCTGACGGGTTAACATATATACAGCATCTACTTACCACGACGTATGGAGAAAATGGCTCTTGTGGAAGTCTGCCCTCCCCCCCTTCTAATATCACGGTTCGGTCTTATTTTCCTTGTCAGCATAGTGGTGTTCTACCAGTAAGAGCTAAACTCTGTGCAGATGATAATGGTGATGGGGAAGCTACACCAAGTGGCTCATACATCAAAAAGCTAGCCCCTCCTCTCTAAACAATTGCTCATATAGACCCCACAACACCAGACTAGATAGGAAAAAACAGGCAGACTGCTTTCTCACAGCACTGTTCAGTATATCTTGCAAACAGCTTCAAATAAGTCAGCTCTGTTCTCCCACTACATATTAAATTCTTCTGAAGTCCAAAATAATTGTGTAGTTTTCCTTCATTGTGTAATTTAAATCTGGACTATATTTCAGTTAGCGCGTAGGTGTTCTTCCGTAAGAAAAGGGAAAGGAAAAAACCATATAAAACCAAAACATCCACCCTCATCATCCCTCTAAAACCCATTTCTGGTATGCAGGATACAAAAGGATATTAGCAAGTGCGTCGCATTTCCTCAACTGAATTTAAACACAAAGCATTAGGCCCCACTCCTTTAACACAATCTGCCTAGACAGACCCCCACAAGACGACTCTCATGGATTGAAGTGCAGGACTGAGAACACGTATAAAACCTTTTGAAAGCACTTATGCCTTCACAGAACTGAAATCCTGCTCTTCCTAGTACAAACATGCTTAACATCCTTAACAGCAACGTTACCAAAACAACTCTGCCACAGACAAACAGAAGACAATTCACAGCACTGCACTCAAAGGCACAATGCACTCTGCCCAAAACACAACAATAAAACTAACAAATCACGGTTTAAAAGAAAACAAAATAAAAACAAACAAGAAAAAAAAAAACAAACACCAACAACAAAGAACTTCCTGGTGCCTCCACTGAGTTTCTCACCTCTACCCCTTCCGCGGCAGGCTGAACCGAAACAGAAGTCACAGCATGGAAAGAAAAAGCCCACAGAAATATCAAATAAACCAACAAATCAGTATATGCTGTTCTTCAGGTTACAGTCAGAAACTGACTTCAGCAGGGTTATTTTCTCATCCTAAACTGAAAGAATGGGGAGAATGAGTATCTCCCATGTTCTGAGTTGCTCTCTTAAGAATTAGGATGAAAAGCATCCTTTTTTCTACTCGCACATGGTTTAGACATAGCTTCTCAAATATTTCTACTGAATAAAAAGGTTAAGTCAGGGGAAATAATATTTTAGCATCGTCAAGGACAAATTTGTCCAGGATTGATTATGAAACCCCTTTCAGTACTTGAACTCCAAGCGATGAAGTTCCTCATAGGCTGTAACGCAGAATTTCCACCGTGGTGCCAACGTCCGTGAGAGGACAATCAGAGGCAACCAGCTATTCAAAGCTTGTTTTTTCAATTACCAGACATGACCTAAAAACCACACCTTTCCTTGGGGAGGCAGGGAAGAGAGGAAAAAGGGATTTAAATCAAAGAATTCACCCATTGGGCCAATGAACTGGATCTTAATGCTAGCCAATATGTTATGGTTTAATTTGTTAATTTATGTAAACAGCCGAGTCACAGTTCAGAAACATAGTAGCACCATCATAAAATTATTTGGGTGAGCAAAGAGCTTAGTTATTCTGGCATCAACAGTTGTTAATTATTATGCAGCATTTTTAACCGAGATATCCAACATTCTGAATTTGCCTAGAATTTCCATTTACACATGAAAACTCAGTCCATAGATTTTGGATTGTTTCAGAGCCTTGCTGGCTAGCCACGACCCGCACTATGCTGGAGAATTGCATGACAACACCAGCACCACCATCAAATGGCACCTTCATAATGTGCTGCTGGAAAAAGATGAAAACTCCTTGGGTCCAAAAAGTGACTGTAACAGTGTTTTGTACCATTTCAGCTAGCAAAGAAGGTTTTCCTCACCACTTCCATTCACCACTGTGTCTTTACCATGTCCTAGATCTAACCACTCACTCACTCTCAATGATGCAACCTACTCCAATAGCACTCCCCAGCACTGCTTTTGAGTATCTCAGATTTTGGAATCTCGCTATGGTCAAGAAGAAATCAGAGTACCTGAAAGGCGAGCTGCAGTAACTCTGACCACCAGCTTCACCATCCTAGTTTTTGCACATTTAGAAGATACAATGACAGCAACAGGGCACTGTATGGATGGACATACGAACACAGACAAGAGCAACACACTGTCTGTACCCTGCCTTAGCTTTTTTTTTTTTAAGGAATCTTCACAGCAACAACTGGGGAGGGGGAAATAATATTTCAATCAACTTTGTAGGCCCACAATTCTATGTGAAAACGTTTCCACAGACTTCTCTCCTCCCTCAAGATGTGACAGTAGATTCCTTCTGACATGTCTGGTGTGCACCTCCCCCTCAATATACATAGGTTTTAAACCAACACTAAAAAAAAGAAAATTACAGGCTTAGGAGAATAAACACACAACTACATAGAAAACATGAACAGAACACATTAGAAACAAAATAATTCACAATTAAATGTGACTTAGAGACAACTAAAACTGTTCTAGAGGTGCCACACTGTGGCTTGAAAAACTATTGCTACAAAAATATTTGCAAGATATCTGTAATCATCAAGTGTGTGGAAAAGCGAATCCCAAAAGAATATTACGACCTTAAAACTACCCTGACCTGATTAAAAGGTGTTTAACTGAAAAATGCAGTTTTTAAGGTTAACGCAAGAAAGAAGTGGCACTCCGCTGGAGAACATCCAGGTCAAATACAAAGCACTGCCTAGATTCAGATTTAAAAGCTCTCTGCAATGACAGGAAAGGACAATGAAAAGCCATTAAGCCATTCCCATGTTTTGAGGGAAATAAAAAGGCACTCTAACTTCACTCTGATTTGAAAAACAGAAGTTCATGAAATTCCCTCCAATTTTTTTCTTAGTTGCAATAATAAATCCCAACACTAAAATCTTACTAGAACTATGGAACTTCGGTAATCTCCATGAGACACCACCGAGGCAGGAATTCCCTGCAGTGCTGTATTGCTAAGAGCAGGCAGTGTTGGCACTACACTGTGCAATTTTCCATTTATAAGAAAACTGATCAGCTTCCCATAGTCCAACACTGAGGCCACTAGTTTGGGTGGGAGAGAGATTTAAATGTGATCTCAACTGGTAAATATTGAACTTAGTTTTCATACACCATATTTTAAATTAACTGGGATTATATTATTATTCTGTATAGTTTTCAACAGATTATGTTATGAACATTGAATATATTAGTGAAAAAAGAGGGATTATGCTGCTGAGCTTGTCAGTCATTCCAATGAGGAACAGATTTTTAAGCAGAAAATCCTGAGTGGAAGAAAATTTCATCACCGAACAGTCCCCTACACCAACCTGTACAGGACAGGCTTGAAAAGTAACCACTCTCAGCAGATAAGGTCCTTTCACTAGGATTTGTCAGGAATACTCGATATACATACAAATTCATTAGCTTATAACAAAACATCAGTGCATAACCAGTTATGGCAACATTTCCAACTGAATGAGTTCTGTAACTCCAAAATATTAATACTATTTATTTCTTGTCTTCCCACATAAAAGCATTCATTAACTTACATTTCCATCACTCCGTTGTCCACCTTTGTGTGTAATAACTACAACTTCCATCCACTTGCGCAGGTGTTGCTATAAAGAGAGGGTAATTAGTACCATTCTTGTAATTATACTGCTCCATTTTACCAAGTGACAGCATATGCTACAAGAAAAGAAGTAGAAGCAGAAATAACTGAAGGAAACAAAAGGAAAAACTATTAGATATTTTCATTCCCCCAGATTTAAGGGTTGACTGTTGCTAAACGTCCTCTCCATGTTCAAGAAAGCAGGGGTTATAGAAATACATGCAACAAAAGGCACAAAAATCTGAGGCCTGATATACAATGATGATAGGCTTAATCACTCGTTTAATGATTTTCTTGACACATGTGCATTTAAACGTTTAAATATCCATGGCAAAAGCACAAAGAATTCACACACAGTTTAAAAACTGTGAAGAAGGGCAGTATCTTCCACCATTTTATAAATCAAGAAAACACCAAAAGGACTTAGTCCACTAGGATATATTTTCAAGGGTTTCCTTAGTATGTTGCACTACTGGCACCTTGCTTAAAAGATCAATTTGTCCAAGCAGACCTTAGCATAACTAGGTATATCTTCACTAGAAGAGAAGATCTCTTGACTTTCTAGGTTACCGGCTCTCTGGAAATTAAATCAATTTGTTTAAAGATTTTTTTTCCCCTATTATTTGTAAACCAAATATCTTTTACTTCCAATATATACACTGAGTCATTACTGTACTGTTCTTTTGACATTTCAACAATACAAGTATTACTAAAAGAGAATCTGAATGGGCTTACCATCATCTGATCACAGAATTTATCATTAAAGGAGTTTGGAAAAAGTCTAGTGACAGATGTCAGACGATTCACAACATTCAGTGTCAGACTCCGATAGTCTCCCAGCATCATAAGCAATGGTCTCATGTGGGTATGAATTTGATCAACTTCTATCGTAGCTCCTTCCAAGAACTGCGAGAGAGTACAGGACTAAGATACAGATAGAGAGGCGAGCAACTGTAGTGCAAGCATCTTTCTTAAAATAAATTCTGTTGACTTTTATTTTGAACTTTCAGAATGAAATTGTTTAGCCAATATTTACTGCTGGAAACATATATAGTGACAAGATGGATCTGGGAAGCACGTCAGTATTTCTGACACTTAGTAGGACATTCCATAAGATAATCAAGTAGGAGATCTTAATTACAGATGGATTAAAAAGCTGCCACAGTTATAAATTAAATATGCCATGGACAAACTACTTAGACAATACTTCACTAAGAACTGCCTGTGAAGCTGGCCGAAAGCAACAGAGCATATTTCTGTGTTACAATCTTCATGTATCCTGAGTAACACAAAAGGTGAAGAGAACCTGGCTGCAAGCAGCCAGAAAGAATAACTGTCATAACCAAAATGTCATATGGTTCCTGTCATAACCAAACATCCTGTGGGCATGGATTTGTCACAGGAAAAACAAATTAGAAAAAAATCTTCTACCACAGGTCAGAACAACCCTTACTTGCTCCCTCTTACCTCTTAACCCACCTGTATCATTAGCAAACCATAAATCAGAATTACATTCCCCTTCATGACCAGAATGACACGAAAAGACAACGTCTGACCTCTAATCAATCAATGGTCTAAACCAATGTAAACCCCCTGTATTATTACAGTTATATTCCCTGCTACGTGCCAGCCAACATACACATCATTACGAGGAGACTGTAACATTTTTATTATCACTTTCTATATTTAGAAGAACGGTATTAATCTTGCTGAATCAGAATTAAGCATACCTACTGGGCAACAAATCATGATGACAGAATATCCTTTTCCCTATCCTTCCAGCTTTTTCACACTATCACCTAGCATCCACAGAACAGACAGTGCCGTGTAGCACCGTGCAAGGATACCAGTTCTGACCTTAAACACTACGGCCACAGTCTGCTCCTTAAGGTAACTGCCATACCATAATGCACTTCAACTCTCTGCTAGTGCTTACATCTTCAAAACCAACTATAGGGTCTCTTTTAGGTCTTCTTTTAGGAAGAAAGAAGAAACACAGAAAAAGCTTTTCCAATGAAGCCAGCCACATTTACAAAACTGCTAGGAAGGACTAACACTGTTTATTTAGAAAAGAAGATATATTTGCAAACATCAAACAGAAAGACTGAAAGGCCAGACAGACAGAAAGACCATGGTCCTCGTCCAAGAGCTTATAATACTTCATTTCAACCAGAAGAAATTAGTATGGCTAAAGTTCAAACCCCCCAGAAAACACATGTGACAAACTTATTTATATTGGTGTCACTAACAAAAACTTAACAAAACAGCCATTATTCCCTGTAGAGAACTTGCCCATGTAACAAGGAAGTAAAGCAGAGAGAACAAAGGCCTCAAAAGCAACTTTGTTTTAATACACTAACCTTTCTCATGCATGCTTCTCCTGCCTCCTGCAGTTCATTATTGGTTGAATTAAGTGCCTTGAAAAGTGCAGCAATGATTTTCTCTCTTGACTGAGGCAAGTAATTGCAGGCAGCTAGAGCATCTGCAAATATCAAAGTAAATTTGTTCCCTTTGTTAACTCAGTTTCAAGGGGGGGGGGAGAAACCCTAAATCTACGTTTTTTCTCTTTGTTTCTTTTATTTCATTTTAAATTATTGACAGCTAAAGCATAGCATGTTTTGCCAAAAGCAACAGGCATCATAGAGTAGTAAAAGAATGGAAATTCTATTAACAGTGTTCTGAAGTTTTCCTAATGCTATATAACATAATTAGTCAAAAAATATTTTGGGTAATTTCAGAAAGTCAATCCTAGCCATTAAGAAAGCAGCGATACTTTCCCAGTATTCGCCATTAAACTGTGACCTCTGGAGAGCAGTCATCAGTCTTCAAGCAGTCAAGTTTTCTGCTGATGCTGGGAAGACGACTGCCGATTGCTCACAAGGACACTCAGCTACCTCGAATTTTGTTGAGGAACTTTCACTTACTTAAGGCTGCAATCCGAAGAGGTACAAGCGATGGAAGACTTTTGTAACAAGGTAGTTTCATTAAGGCAGCATCTTCAGCCTCACACAAATTCAGTAACTATGGAAAAAAATAAACCATCATTTTAGCACAGCATTGTGAATCGTGTTTGAGACAGTATTATCAGTGACCTTTTTAGCCTTGTTTCCTCAAAGAGGCAAGTTTATGCAAACACACAAATCAATTCCCAAATTTCACCAACAGGCAAAAATTCTACTCAATACCAAGTGTAAGTCCCCATGAAAACTGGTGGTTAGCCAGAGGCAAAAAAGCCCATTAGCATTGCCACCAGAGAAAGTCAGGCAGAAATTAGCCATTTTGCATTTTCCTGGCCATGTGCAAACAGGCTGCTAATGTGATAAAAGAACAGGTCTACAGAAGAGCTTGCCACCTGAAGGGCAATAATACGTACAGAAAATACTGAGGAAAGGGCTAACAGAACAGGAGAGTAATAGGGAAAACACATGCTGAAAATATCTTCAGTAATTTTAATGGTCCTGGAACACTGCCCAGAGGGACAATTCTTCCCTAGAGAGTTCTCCTCTTCGCAGCTGAGTGTTTTCAATAGGTGTCTATGTTTTCCATCAGAAAACACTGAGGAGGTTGAAAGTAAGTTATGGAAGTTATCTATGTCCAGGCTGCACCTATATCCAAGAACACTATTAGGATGCAGACCTTCCCAATACCAATATCTCACTCTCACGCTTACAGACACTTTTGATCTAAAGCACTTTGTTTATGTCTTAAGGAAAAAAAAAACAGAGGATCCTCTGCATGTACCCCATACCTGCACTGCTAACTGGATTACTGTTGGTATAAAGGGATCTGTGTGGACAAGACAGCTAGGAAACCCAGGGACTAGACAGTTTAAGTTAAATCTGCACACTAGTTTTGTATCTGATTTTACTCAAACTGTTAGGGACTCAAGAACTTCGGCAGTACAACGGTCTATTTAATAGATTTACTGTGCCTAAAATAAGACCTAAATATGAAAGTTAGCACTACCAGGAGTATAACAAAGTTCATTTCATATCTTTCACACACATTAGAATATTCTGCTTAGCTCAGAGCTCATGTTATAAAGGCAGACCTCTGTTCACATTTCAAAATGTAAATTCTTACATTTTGGAGAAAGTTTAAAATGCACAGAGAAAATATGTACTTTTAACAATGAAAGTTCTAACACCATAAACTATCTACATTCAAATATGACAACATAAAAAGAAAGTACCTCTGTGTAGAAAACCTTGTGTTCCACAACATTTAGATCCATCGTAAACAAACGGGGTTGCAGTGTTGTGCAAAATGTATTTCCTTCCATCAGGCCAATCTGGGCATTTGCAGGTTGATGCCTAAGTAAATGCTTTTTAGGAGGAACCATGTCTTGGAGAACCTACACAATGTAATTTAGATTACTGAATTAGCAGTCTATTCAATGACCCCACAGACCTAGGCACTAAGACATCACCAGTCATGGCTCCAGACGTACCTCTTCAGAAATCACTAAGCAAGAAGAGAAGCATTTCTCTGAACTACTAACACAGTCAGTTAGCAAAACAACTCAGTAACTGTAGTTATTACATACTCTCTGTGAACAGATCTATGATATTTAATAACTTCAGATAATGCTATAAACAATTAAGAAATTCATAGACTTAAGAATTTTAAGTGTTCAAGTTAAGAAATAAGTCTATCTAAAATCCTAAGCCATCAGAAAAACAAAAACATCCATGTAAGTTTTTTTTCCATTACACAACTTCTCACTCTTCTCCATAACGACCTTCTGGAAAATAAGATACCAATCAAGGATCCTTCTCTGCATGCTCCCAAACCACAATAACATCTATAATTTCATATGTTGTGGTGGCCCTCAGGGCTTAAGTACATTTACCTGTCCTGAAAGAGAATGAATGCTATTAGCTTTAATGAGTATCTAGCAAAATGTGATTTCAAGCAGCTTTGATCTTTGTAGTCTCTCTCTGGATAGGGAAAGGCATAGCAATAAACCTCATATTTAGAAAATACACACAGAATTGAGGGTCAAAATCTACCTGGCCTAGCCTGTGTCTGACTGCTGGTAGGGCAGGCAGTCCATAATTTCACAAAGTAGATCAACCTGAAGACACTAAAAATACTGGCTAAGTAGTCAGGCACAGCTTGTACAAATCTCTACAGCACTCCTGCCAGAGCGTACTTCAGAACAACGAAACCTAGCAAATGACGAACATACGCTACCAAAGCACTAAGAACTTCAACCACTAAGGCGGGAAAATTTACTCAGGAACGCATTTTACAAATCCAAAGTGTTAAACAACTTCACATGCACTTGGACTTTCAGTAAGTATCTCTGCTTACCTCTTTATGTGGCTCCATGATCACCGTGACACTTTTTCCCGTGACCTGTGCAAGTACCTGCAATGAATGCATGGCCTGTTTTCTCACAGTAGAGTTTGGAGAGGTTACTTCTCGAACGAGGTCATGCGTTACATGATGGAAGGACTTTTCCTGTGCTGCTAGGATTTCTTCTGGTTTTTCTTCATCTTTTAAAGGAGTTGCACATCTAATCAAAAGCTGTTCTAACGTGGTCTTTGCCATGGCAACTGCTCCATTGGAAACCTAAGGTATCATAGGTTATTTTTATTGAAAAAGTACAGATGAGAGATCACCAATCTACACACTACTCATCAATGAACTTGGCATTTGATTTTGATGAATACTCAGCAAACAGTTAGAAACACATGAAGAACACATACTGAACTAGTCTTTCCCACTGAGTCATTCCAAAACTGTGAGCTGCAATGCAACACCACCTTATAAACAAACTCGGGTGCTGGAACCTTTAGTAACATTGTCACTGTATGGTTCACAACTGAGAAAAGGTCGAGCAGCTGATTAAGGTATCTGTAACTGCATCCAGCTCTTAGATAGGATGAGCCCCTTTCAGACTAAACACAGAAAGATGAAAATGTAACAGTGTGTTTCATGCAGGTGACAGTGAACCTAGTGTTCTTTCCCTGGTCTGAATGCAACCTGTGCATTTCCACTCAGAAAGAAGCAACTGTAATTCCAACAACTTTGGCAAAGTTATGTTGAAAAAAAAAAAAAAAAACCCAACAGAACTCATTCATAACATCAGGTCTCCATTTAAGTTAAAATGACTAAAATTCACTTGTAACTACTGCAGATATGGTAAAATCAAGATTAGCAGGGTTTTAATCTGTGTGAATTTAAGAAGTTTGTTTCCCCCCACACTGTTTGATGTAATTCATTCATTACATACCTCTCCAGTTAGATCCATCATAACAAAGAGAAGTGCCTTCAGGAAAGTCTGCTGGTTCTGGAGGACCCAAATGAGTGGCAGCCGTTCCATAAGAAATTTAATTGACACGACACCTCCTAGTTTAGCATACCAAGCTTGTTCGTAACAGCAAGCACACAAACGTTCCACAATGTACGAAAACAAAGGAAGCTGGCAGGCCTGGAAACAAAGAAATGTATCAGGTCGCATTTTCAGTGCACTGGTAGCCTCCAAAATTTTAGAAGTAGAATTTTATTGGCTGAAACAAGATCATTTAAATACTTAAAAATATATATATATTACCCTTTCCTTTGAACCCAAGATAATGCTTGCAACATCAAATATCACTGCGAGTGCCACCTCTCCTATTTTGCAGAGTTCCTTCTCCTCATATGCCATGCAGATTGCTATGGCATCAATAAGCACCAAGGGATCCATGCCTTTTGACCCGTTTTCTTCACTATGAAACATGGCCGTGCTAGGCTGGCTTCCAACCTGATAGCACTGCAGCAAAAACGGACCTGTAATTTGTATTGGGGAAGAAGAAAAGAAAAAAAAAAGGGAGGGGGATAAAACAATGGATATTTCAATATGAATAGTCTTTCAATTAGATTTTACTACTCCTCTAAGGATCTGACAGCAAAAGCAGTAAGCACTGTGTCCATTTGCATATAAATAGATTGCAAGGCATTCTTCACCCTCAGAAGAAGAAAAGATTACATCTACTTGAGTATTTTCTTCCATGCACTAGATTAGGCACTGCAAAAAGATTTAATTAAAATGAAGAATCATAAAAATTTAAGTTGCATTAATGTGACAATGAAGAATGATATGCTTATAGCATGTCTTTTCCCAGATTCCTTGTCATACAGTCAACTCCAAATAAAAAGTTTACTGCATGGATACCAGCCACTGCAGTGCCCTAACATTCACTCAGCTCCTCTGATGGTCCTTCAAAACCACACGTGGAAACAACCCAAAGACCATTCACAGAAATAACTGTGTATGTCAAGTTACACAAATGCTCTGGAAACATAAACTGTTCCATGCTGTAATTATTTCATTGGCTGTAGCGTTTAAAAAAAGCAATCACTTAATATTGTTTTTAAAAACCTGCTTAATTTTTTCACCGCTCAAAAGAATTTAACGAAAAATTCAGCAATCAAACAAAACCCAGAACCCTGGGTTCTTCTACCCAGAAGAAACTGCAATATCATGACTTTCTTAAAGCAAACTACTACTAGAAAAGCATAGACTTCTCCACCCCTCCCATGACAGCCACACGGTCTCTGTTCTGCTTCACTTACCACACTGCTGAGCCACTGCCACCATGGTGTAATGGCGGATTAAGCTGGCGACAAAAGGCAGAGCACTAGGCCGCAGGTCTTTGATGACTGCTGACATGAACGCCCCTGTCAATGCCTGTTCAAACGTTTTACGAGCTGGAGTATCCTGAGCTTTGTATCGATGCGAAATAATCACACTGGGTATGGACTTCTCAGTAAAGCTGAAAGACAAAATCAAGTTCATTATAACCCTAAACTGCAGTACTGGCAACTCAATCATGAGCATTGTCAAAGTCTTGATTTGAAGTTTGCTCTTGGTATCTAACTCATTCTCCCCTCCCGTTTTCCCCTCATTTTGATAGAGCTACACCAGTTCACTCAGTCCATATGAATTTTGTCAACGACTGGTCTCAGACATGATGGATAGCTCAATTTCATGAGGAACATTTAAAGCCAGCGGTTCAAAAGAAGCCACGTATGCTACAAATAATAGGTATACAGGCATCATACTGCAACTCAATTACAGAATGTCATTTTCAATATTTTGACATTTTTCCCTTTTTTAAACCGACATTTGATTTTAATCTTGAAAGACTAAAACATTATTTATCAAATCACTGCCCAACAAAACCTATTCACTGCAAAGCTATGCTTATGTCAAGTCTAACAAGTTATGAAAGCTACTATACTCTTTACCCACACTTACTACACTGCAAAACTCCCAACTCAGCACACACTTTGTGAGCCAAGATGCTAAAGTTGCCTAAAAGCAACTAAGTCATTATGTGTCAATAAAAGCCCCCCACTACGACAAACATTTTATGCGTGTGACTATGCTGCAATCTGGGCACTAAACAAAGCTGAATTTTTTCTTTTGCTTTAGTAAAAAGTTAGATGCACATACAAAACATCACAATCTAAGTTCATCTTTAAAACAAAATTAAGCACCAGAATTTTCCAACCATTTAAATATATTAAACTAAAATTAATTTTAAAAAATTATCTGATCATATGTAACAGATTATAAATTGTACTGGAATTAGGGGAAGAAAATCCAAGGATGAAACATTGACACATGTCACTGGCATTAAATAATACGCTGACAAAATTCCACTTACTGCACTGATTTAAAAAAGAAGCAGGATAAACTGGCAGGTAAAAATCCCATTAAGAATACATTGCCTAAACTAACCACTGTCTCTAAACTAGGTTATTTTAAAAGACACTAGATTTTACATACACATTTACATTTAAAGAACTGTCATACTTGGGATGTGCAAGAAGCTGGTATAACGCATGTTTGTTGTCATCCAGGCTCATCATAGCCACTAAAAAACACTTGATTACTTCCCACGCTTGCCTCCGATAATACGGTTCTGTGTTAGCACTCTTCAAACAGTCCAGAGCAGTCTCAATCGCCTATCATGAGAAAGGATGGATGGTAAACAAACACTTCTTGTTCTTAATATTTACAATCAGGTGAAAAATCAAGGCAACAGCATCTTCAATACATATTTAAACTAAATTTAAAAGTATGTGCAATTTGGACTGCCTAAGTTAAGAAATGCAGAGAATGCCTGAGAGCACAGACTTCAAACTGTGATGGTATTTGCTGTGCTTTCATAAATGCAGAGTTTCACGGCAGATACATTTCCATGGTCAGAAAGCATTAGAAGTCATGAGTGAGCTGAACCTTCATTCTCTCTCCTCCCTCAAGAAAATCTTCTTCACCTTCCCTCCAGCATAATCTCTCTTCCTAATCCCCGTGTACTATAGGTACACAACGCATTTATACACATACATAAATGGTACCAAAAAATGTTCTTACGAATTACTTTGTCATATTCTCCGTACAAATCAAGAGCTACATCATCCACGATGAAATATCCCTGTAAGCAACTTCTAAACACCTCTTAATAGAAATAGTACCACCCTTTTTCTTTGCAATGTGGTTTATTTAATACATTTGAGAATAATTCAAATAATCTCTCAAAATATGAAAGCGATGAAAAGGGGAGGGGAATACATCTTTCTGCAGAATTTCTATTTTGTATGTATTTAAATACACATAAAACACAGCTAGATAATTTCTCTCCTTCTCCCCCTCAAAAATGGAAGAAATTTTAAAAAAAAATTAAATAGGCATAAGTATAAAACACACAGGTGAAAACTGTTTTGGAGTGTACAAAATAAGGAATTCCAATACCTCATCAATCATAACTAAAATCTAACCATCCATGCTTAAACAAGATTAGGAAGAAAAAGGCTCTGCTACCAAGAAGTGGGCATTTTCCCTCTTTGAAAGGAAAGCCATCTTGGCACTTCCTGACTTGCCTAGCTGTCATCCCAACCCCGTCTGAGTAAGCTCATCAGCATCCCAATGAAAGGAACAATGAGTTTTACACACAGCACAGAAGACTAACAAAGCACTAAAAGAGAACATGGATTTTCCATTTTCCATGTAATGCATTTCTTTTTCCTTTTAATTTCACATTTCCTCTGGGTCAACACCAAGAAGCTGAAGATTGTGCCGTATCATTAACTAACATGTTAACACATAAATATTTTGGAAAATTTGGGTTGAATTAAACCTAGCAGGATAGGAAAATGCCAGCAATTACAGGAGTTACCCGTATTCAACTCATCAGGTTCAGAACAGAGGAGGAGACATCAGTAAAGCTACCTGCATTTTAAGAATCATTTTTCCAAGCTACGGTTAAGCCCCTCGGCTGGTCGGAGCCAAGGAGAGCCAGCTGCCGGTGAAGAAAATTGGTTGCTACATTCAGATCATACCCACTTCAAAATGTGTACTTGTAAAGGCAAGTATTAAAACTCTACAGGCCGAATTAACTCGGAATCCAGCTTCACTCTCAGATCCCAAGACACAGATTAGATTGCTGCAATTAGCCAGAACTAAGCATGTGCAGTACACCGAGACTGCCAGAGAAAAGCCACTACAAGTACAAAGTGACACTCTGAGAAGTCCTATCCCAGCCCAGAGACAACAAAACCAAATCACTGGAGTCCTCAGAATAACCATCTACAACCCACTGTGGAAGTTTCTGGTAGACTTCAAGAAGAAAACAGGGAGGTTTTAGAGCAGATTCCTGCCGTTCACCAAAAGGTAGGAAGGGGAAAAACATGCACAGGAAGCACTTACTTGTGCCAGTTTAGCTCCCTATCCTGCCACTTTGTTGAAATATATTATTATGGGGGTGACATATGGAACAGTTTGAAGGGACAAAAAAAAAAAAAAAAGAAAGAACAAGTTGGCAAGCTTCTGCTAATTTCACATGTTGAAATGACCCAAGAAGTTAGTGTAGGTCTAACTAGTGTAGGTCACTACAAAGTTAAAAAGAAAATAAGCTCTTTGCAGTTATTTCTGAAACACCTTTTTATACTTTACCTGACAACTCTGACAACTCAAAAATTACTTGAAACAAACAAAAAGGATACTTAAGTGGGTTTTGTTTCTTCATTACAACATAAATGAAGTAGAAATCTATTTGTCTAACGGATAGGATATAAAAACAAACATGTATGCATGAGATCCTAAAACCTACTTCTAATTATGCAAATTCTATCACATTAGATATTCATTAACTCATATGTGGAACTGGCAGTCATACCACATATTTAATTAAGGTTTTACAAGCAAACAAACTTCCAAAGTATCTCTAATAAGGGGAAAATGAGTAAGATGGTTTCTCAGCACAGAAAACTTAGGCCCTTACCTTTTCCATTGGGAGCTGAATGGATGCTTTACAGTCTGAAAATTCGATTGTAATACTGGGTCCTTGGATTTCTGTGACTACATACTGTAGTTTCTGCGATTCCTTTAACATCTTCCTGTTGCTTCCACCAAATTTACCAAGTACACGATAAGCCACATGAGAAATGCTGTCTGCAGGATTACGCAGTGTACGCCACAAAGCCTGTAAGTTTTAAATGTTACGTGGTCACACCAGCCTCACTTCCAATTTTTCAAGTTGTAAAGTTAAAAAAAAAGTGTAGAGGAACACACTTATTCTATCTGGGTAACTGATCCTGCATGACTTCCAGAGAATACCTACCTATGTTGAATAAAAGCAGTTTCAGTTCATGCTTTGGAACTAGGTTGTCCTAAATGCCATTTTAGAGAAATGTGATCAACTACAGAATCTTTGCCACACTGAAATGTAATTTCACGTTTACGGCTAATATTAGATAATAATAAGTAAACAATGTTATGAATTTGAAAAGAAAAAAAAGCAGGCTAGTTAAGGTTGAAGTGAATTAACCTCAAAGTGCTAGTTTTGAAATATAAAAAGCAAATAAAGTAAATACTGTATTTAAAGGATAAAGTGTATGCAAGCAGTGTATATGGGGAAATAGCTGCATTTAAAACACTGTTCCCAATTTCAGGCACACCTTTTTCACTGTATGTTTACGACTTTATAGTTGTCGATCATGATATGCTGAAGGTAATCAGCTTTTCTTGGTCTTTCTTTAAAAAAAATTAAAAAATTTTAATCGTTTTCTGTACGAACCCAACGTAGTAATACTTTTCCTGTTGAGTTGCAAGTCTTAACTTTAAACCCCTTAACAGGATGTACAGAAAAAGTAATTAATTCACTTCTCAATTTTTCACTTTCAGTTAAACAGCACATCAACTACTGTGCTGGGCTTGTTCAGCCTGGAGAAGAGAAGGCTCTGGGGAGACCTTATAGCACCTTCCAGTACCTGAAGGGGCTACAAGGAAGCTGGAGGGACTTCTTACAAGGGCCTGCAGCAACATGAAAGGGAGTAACGGGTTTCAATTTAAAGTGGGGAGTTTTAGCTTGGATGTAGGGAAGAAATTCTTCACAGAGAGGGTGGTGAAGTGCTGGGACAGGTTGCCCATAGAAGCTGTGGATGCCCCATCCCTGGAAGTGTCCAAGGCCAGGCTGGATGAGGCTTGGAGCAACCCGGTCTAGTGGAAGGTGTCCCTGCCCATGGCAGGGGGGGGGACTGGGTGGGCTTTAAGGTCCCTTCCAACCCAAACCAGGCTGTGATTCTATGAACTGCCTTTTACACACAAATCAGACTGCTACGGTTCTTATGACAGATTTCTGAAGTTTTTATATCCAACAGTTCACACAAATTTCTAAAGATATTTAGCAAATCAATGACCTCGTGTGGTCTAATAGGAAACAACACGTTTACCTGCATTAGCTCAGCTCGAACTGGCTGAATATGATCATACAGAAAGTCTGGCTGCAAGTTATCCACGCACAGTTCAAGAGTTCTTAATCCTTGGCTAACCAGGGTCTGAGATCCATTGAGAGCTGACACCAAGGGATCCATCAGCATCGGCAGATAGGGCAGTAATGAGCTCAAACGAACCGGCACTGTGAGGCAGAGCTCTACAAACAAGTCTTTCATGTGCTGTTTATGAAGGCCACTTTGCAACATATTGAGTCCTGAAAATCATTGATAAGTTATACACTCAAAAGACAGCATACAGTTTATTGTTAAAATTGCTATGCCCTAAATTCAGAATAACCTGACATTTTTAAAGTTCTGTGAAGATGAATGTTTTCGTAGTTACATGCACATACAAAAGATTATCTATGCATATTCTAAAAACTAATATTAGACTTGAGTAGCATTTGAGTACAGCAGATGAAAACGAGAAAAAGACAGTAAAATCCCCACAGAACAAATTGGTTTTAAAATATCTGGACTCCTGAGGAGAAACATTAAATGAGCTCAAGTACATTCACTGTCCCATACAGACTCAACACATTCCTCAACTTATTTTTCTCCCCCACCAAGACTTCATATATTCCATAAACCTAACTAGCACTTCTATACTGACATGTATTTTACATAATGATTTATAGATAGCAAATATTTGCTAACTGCAATAAAAGCTGCAGGTGCACACACATGCCCTCACTGCAGAACAACCTGAGCTTCTGTTACGTTCTTCCCACAAAACCAGTGATGGCCTGACAACACTGCTACTCCTACTACTCTTACCCCTCAGTGCTTCATGTTAATGTTGTCATCCATAGGAAAAAAAAAAACAAGCAAGCAAGAAAGAAAAACCAACAGCCCCACAATGGAAAGCAGAAAAACAAGCAGCAGAAATTGTGAAGCAGCCAAAACTATGGAGCCTGAAGCAGCTGATAGTAAATGAAAATAAGCCACATTCAAGATATTTAATCAACTGCTAAGATCAAAATCAGATGCTACTTATCAGGGTTAGGGCTTTAGTCTGGGGGATTTTAATTACATAATATAACATTATGACTACTATCTACATAAAAGGATCAGAAACCGGGGTGGGGAAAAAAGGTTTTGTTCTACCTTGCAGTAAGTTTGGTAACAGCGGCAAGAATTCTTGATATAACAGATCATGACTGCCTCCTCCAATAGATCTGAACAGTGCTCTGAGCAGCAGGAAATAGTTATAGGGCTCTTTGGCAGTCTGTGCAAGTTCCATAGAGCTGTTCACAATCTTGTGCAAATGTGGCTATAAAAAAAAATAAAGCTTGAAGATTAATAAAACACCAATTTCATCACTGTTGTACTGTACAAGAGTTTAGCATGAGACACGTTTTTCAGATCAAAAACCTTCAACTGTTCCGAGTACTCTGATACCACGTTAACACTATACCGCTGTTGATGAACAGTTAAAAAGGAAACCTGTATCTGAATAGTATCAAGAACCCAGAGCATTCTTTCAGTAATTAAACCTTGCTTCATATTAGCCAAATGACAGTCTGCTTGCTACTCCAAGCAGTAACCGTATTAAAAAGGAAAAAGAAAAAACCAGACACCTTCTGCAAACCTGACCCAATGAAGACTATTTGCTCCACAGAAACAAGGGATGTGCAGTGGAAACCACAAGTGTCAGAGTACTACTGAGAAACGTCTTCTCTTGGCAATTTACTCCTGATCTAACTTCATCACTAATTCTTGATGTTTGTGAATGCTAAAATTTCGCTTTGAAAGCGAACTTTCACAAGTTGAAAAACCAGCTAGGGAACTGCTGGCCCTTCTAGAGCACAGGACATTCACAGTTCACAGAAATCAAGAAATACAAGGATTCTCACAGATCAGGGACAGACAGTGACACAGTTCTGGATTTTATTAACACCTAAAAGCTTTCTACATCGCTATGCAAATGCTGCAAATAGACTTCTTCATTTCAATTAAACTGTCCTACCCAAGGCCCATGTCATCAATTCTGCTGAAACAAAGAAATGTAACAGCAGCGTGAAACCATGAAGGTAGTAAATCACGCTCTTTAAATTGGATCTCCAGCTTATAATATCCCACGACCTTGATTCTGACGACAAACGAGAAGAATTTAAGCAAGGTTATATGAATATTGCTTCGTATTACTATTATCTTTCAAAGAATCTGAAAAATTAGTAGTCCCTACTCTGTTCTGCCCAGAAAACTGAACGAAACCTGCTGTAACAAATCGTTAAGCACGGAGTATCAGAACTCGTTTAGTCTATGGTAGACAAAAGAGAAAAGGAGGGAAATTATGAGAGAAGGAGCAGCGTTCAATTAACATCTTAATGTTTTTTCTAGATAGGGGCAGCTGTTACTTTTAAGAGAAAAGCACACTCGTGCTTCCAACTCAGTATTTCTAAACTCGCTGAACAAGTAGATGATCTCACCAACATAAACCAACACACAGACACTATGTTGTCGGTAGAAAAACCAGCATTCCTTAATCCAGACTTTTCAAAAGCCCAGAAAGATCTAACTCAAAGGGTACACGTCACAGAATACGACAGGAATGACCAAGATTCCCCAACACACAAAACTGATCCCAGTGTCAGCAAAAGCATCAAGTTAATACGGAAATAAAGGAGAAAAACTATGCAAGGCGACACACACACCCTGCCCAGAAGTTGCACAGGTTTATGGCCACCTTAACGAGACCACAAGCACCTATCAGTCATTTATACTCACAATTAGTACACAGCTTCATAGTTTCAAATATGAAGCAAACAGTGACCGAAACAATTTCTTATAAATAAGGCAATGTACTTGGATTTGGAAAAATGGAGAGGTAGCACTGCTGCAGCTCAAGGATGAACAGACTAATCAAGTGTTAGACACCGTAAAGCCGCACCCGCACTTCCTTCACACACCTGAAGAACATACTAGGAGTCAAAACAGATTTTTTTTCTTTTTAACACAAATGACCTTTACCTTCAGCATTTGTTCATTTTCAGCTGCAAATAGTGAAACTGAGCCAAAGACTAACTTGAACAGCTTGAGATACAGATTGGAGAGTTCCACATTAGAGCCCATTTCTGGCAGCCGATCCAGAAGATACTCAACCAAAATCGTCGCAAAGAGGGCAGAGGTAGTAGGGTTTGCCAAGAAGGAATTGGCAACAATCTATAAAAGGAAACCACAAAGGAGTTATTGTTGCTGTAATGAAAAGAGCAGAGGGGTAAATGCACTACCCATTTAAAACACAAAACTCAGACAAATTTCTTTCCCCATCTCCACTGCTACCCAAGTGATTCAGGTTACCCCCAGTGGAAAACAAGTACGCATTAAACTGAAGTATTCAAGTTTAGAGTTTAACTTTAAATGTGTATTATAGGACCTGTGTTCTGTGAAACAGGAACTCCACAGTGCTCAATACTTTTCAAGAATAAAGTCCATTCATATCTTCTGAAGTGCCCATGTTTGTCTTGCATCACTTAGTCTGGAAAGCTTTAGGAAATCCATCTTTACAAAGTATTTTGATAGCATGCACAGCTTGAAGCAGTCTAACTTCAACATTATTTGTAATTCCACATCAGCCTTATGCACTTCAGGGCCCACGCTGTTTATTATCAATTGAAAAAAGTAAACAAAAACATAATACCTGAAGAGCATAGTTCTTTGAGATTCTTTCCACCATATAAGGAACAGTAGTTTGAAAAATTTCTTTAAAAGTTAAAGGGTTCATCATTGTGAACACGCCAGCAAAATGCTCCAGAACTTCCTTTTCCTCTTTCATTCTGACCGTCTGGCAGTTTGCCACTCGAACATATGTCTGTCCATTTCCTGCTATTTGGACCTATGGGCATTCAGAAAACACATGTATTAGTTCCAGAATTTGAGTACCTTTTTTCCCCCACTATTCTTAAAAGTACCCTTTGAAAACAACCGATTTTACAGGTTTCACATGCAAGCCCTATACAAGTAGAAGTCGGGTATAAGAGCCAACAGTGACAATGAAAATATTAAAATGGGATGTTTTCAGCAGAGATTTTAAAACCATGAAGTCAGAAGTGGAAAAAGACAACAGCAGGAGGTATCATAGTGTATCTGTAAGGTAGCGCAATTTCAAATCATCTGCACTGGCATTTCATCCGTACTTTGTTCAACTACAGGAGATAAAACACAGCCATGGGAATACTTCAACTGATAGCTAAACTATCTCTTTACAAAGATTTAATCCACGACATGAGACAAGCATTTTTAGTCTGACCTGCCTGCATAAACACAGATAAAAACACCTGGTAAGAAAATAATTTATTCCTTGCCAAGTGATAAATATTTTGAAATTCATAAAACTTCCCAATAGCTGTGGTCCTGAAATTACGGACTTAAAAACTACATACTACACGTGAAATTTGTCTTTTAGCTGACAAACAAAGCCCTATTAAAAGATCTAACGCACAGTAACTGTATGTGCTATGCAGCCAGATTACATACCTGATAAATATCTAACGCTTGCATTGCATATTTCACCAGTTTTATATAGATTTGAGTCTCCTTAGGTTGCAACTGCTTATTAGGAATGAACTGTGCTTCTGAAAGAGGATAAAGAATACGACAGTAGTTACCCATTAAAGATGCTATTTGCTGTCACGCTGGAGTTTTAACTGTACAATCACAAAAGGTAAATGTCATTAAACGTTATGCATTTTACCACCAGGAGCTTTACACGACGTTATGCCCCACGTGATTGTCTTGACACCGCAGACCAAAGTTTTCACTAAGCTTCGGCAATCTGTGACCTGAAAGGTCTGTTTATCTTCTTTTTCTTTCTCCCCCTGTTTTTCAAACACGGGTACTGGTGCAGGAGCGACCGGGGTGGCTGGGGCAGGAGATGGCACAGGAACAGGTGCCGCGTTCGCTGCTGTCGGCACTCCGGGTAACGCGGCTTCCGCAGCCCCCAGCTCAGACTGCGGCTTGCATTTCTTAAAAATGACAGAGAGCTGGTACCGTGCGATAGTGTGAAATTTCAGAACAAAAACCTATGGCACAAAGAGGAAAAGCAAATGAAAGAGCAGGGAGGGGGAAGAAAAAAGAAAGTAAGTTTCTTCTTCAAAAATAGCTCTAAACTTACTACTAGCAATACCTCAAGCCAGCACACTGAGATCAAGAAGATCCACAACCGAGTACTCCTGAAGTCACCCAATTGACAGCAAATGTTTTTACGTGTATCAACAAAGGAGGTTGCAGACTTCATTTCCAAAAGTAAAAATATTTGCTGAAAACTAGTAAAACCATCAACTACAAATGAATCTCTCTACAATTCCACTTAATTTTAAATTAAAAGCTATTTGAATTCATTTTTTAAATGAAGCTTAATATTTCAGACTATAAATATTTACTATTAAGCATAAAAAGCTGTAATTTTTCATGTGTGTATGTAGTATATGTCAGAGGTATGGAAAGGTGTACACATTACAGGTTTAAATTTTAGTTGTAAACAAATGACCAAACAACTGTGCTACATCATAGATTTTTTTAAAGTATAAAAATAGTCAAAGTTTATTTGGAAAAAAAGCACTACTAGAAAGCTACTTCAGTTTGAGAGATACCAAATAACCTGGAGGTGACTAAAATGACTAAATCTCTTCCCTGGTGCATTCAGAAGCAGGACAGTGACAGTGACAGAGAAGGGTTAAAGAGTGAGGGGATCCACCACATTCAGAATTCCTAGATCTCCCCTTCCAAACCAAGCAGCCATACTGCTTCCTCAGTTATCCCAAAGTGTTAACACCAGTTTGCTTTAGATTTCAAGACGTGCTCTCACATGCCGCAGTGAGAGTAATTAAAGCAACCTTTACACTAAGTGTTTCACCCTACAGCTGAGTGCCTCTCCTTGTTGTTGCAGGAGAAACACCAGGTAACACCCTGGCTACAGCAAGCGGGTGGCGTTTCACCTGTACTACACCACGGGTGACAGCGTTCTGCGTACACCCCTGATTTTTACCAGAAATCCTCCATATAAAGAAGATCCTTAAAAGGGTAAGTAGGTCTCAAAAGTGCAGCTATTTTACAGATTGTACTGGGCTATGCAAAAGATCTACAAGATAACTGTCATCCAGGGTTTAAAAAACAGGTTTTTTTTTTTAAATAGCTACAACAGTCAAGCTTCCCCCAGCACCACAGACATTGTTTCCTGCTTCGAAACAAGTCTCCGAATGCGTAAGCCGAGCTGGCAAAGCATCTCCACTACACTTCCTACCCAGCTGCACAGCAGTTTTAAAAGCCCTTCTCTGAAGTATTAGAATGAAATACAATATGCAGAGTGTTGCCACAGATTCTCATTTCTGAAGGAAGGAGAAAGTACAATGTGATTGACAACATACTATGAAATAGGATATTCAACTTATTATCAAATGTTTTGAAGAAATCAATACCTCCAGCATTCTCATAAGAATATCTCTACCATTTCCATTTTCCTGTTCACTTTTAGACCGGATACAGTCAACCAAATTTAGCAGAAGCTTGCAAGACATTGTCTGGATACTGCTAGGCAAGGACTCATCATCAATGTTCTTGGCAAACAACTGGACAGCAAGGGAGAGATCGTTGAGGGGTAAATGCTGACGGACGTGATGTACCAGGTCTGCCAGCGTACTGTAGGCAAGTGGTCTGTCAGTGAAAACAAGAAATTAAGAAAACACACTGAGGAAAGTTAAAATAATTGATTGTTGAACTTAACCAATAATGACTGCCTGGAGCCATTTTCAAGAGTCTAAATCCAAACTTTCCATTTTTATATGCAAATCCAGAGTGCACACGGCTTTTTCAATTGCACAAGAGAATTATAACCAGCACGATGTAACCACAGCTGCATTAATCTGTCCCACAACACCAATGTTACCTCTCCGATCTTTCATCCCCCAGTGCAAAGCATCCCCAGCACACATTTTCATCTCGTACAGTTAAGATCAAATTAGCACGTTTTAAGTCACACGTTAAGCAGTGCTGATAAGCTGTTTCACAACTAATCACTGATTTCAAAATTAGTTACAGAAACTGCCGAGTTTTAAAAATACCAGGTTTAAGTATCTAGTAGAGCAAATACTTGTAAATCTAACACGTTGTCAATGAGGTACACTCTATACTTAAACAAGAGGAAATAATTCTCCCAGTTCACATTTCCATTTGGTCAGCAAAAGCACCTAAAGCTAGTAGACTACTGAAGACACAGAAAGCAAATATTCTCCCCATTTATTTTTTTCAATTGCAAATGAGTAGGTTTTAAGGTATTTATTGACAAAAGAGTTCAAATATTTTTTCAATTAATTTAGATTATGACTTTAAATCTCATTCCAATTTTACACTGGACATAAGACTTAGGCTGTTTTGTGAAATATTGGGAAGATATTGAGTTGGTTTCACTGTGACCAGTTTTGTTTGTGCTCTGCAATTCAAAAAATTATTTTCCATTTATCCCTTTTTACCCTATGCTGATGATACCCTTCTGTGCCATCAAAGTGCTAAACAACCGCCTCTCTTTACAGCAGCAGAAGCCTTTCCAGTATTAGACTCTAATAAAATTACTTAAAACAAAGATTTAGGCCCTAATACAGACGTTATTGTAAATATTAAGAAAACTTGAAAGAAACCAGCACTGGCAGGCACGCAGCTATTCCACACTTTGTCATACCTCAGTGTCTCTCGGGCAGTGTATCCAGAGCCAATTAGTATAGATTCATCGAATAGCTTGTCCATGCATGGAATAAATTCTGTAATTTAAATAAATAGAGAGAAAGAGAAAAAGATGTACATAATGATTGACAAAGGAAATAATCCAGATGAGATAGTTAAACATTAAACGACTTAAGTAAGGTCAAACCTAAGTCAAAAAGTGTTTTTATTATAAAATTCACTCCTGAAGCTTACAAAAGGCAGTATCATATATGAGGAAAGTTTCAATTAACCTCTGATGACTATGAACTCCAGTGACACCTGCCCCTCGAGTAACAGCACACTGCGAGTCAAAGCCACGGCACTGCTACAACAAAAACAGTTACAGCTGGAAAGAGATCAAATCCTTATTAATAGTTACAACTTTGCAGAAGTTTTTAAATGTAACTCATTGGAGTTACTGGGAAAGACAAGTTTGGGCAACACTTTACAACACAACTCTATTTTGTCTGGCATCTTAACGTATAAGCTCTATCCCAAAATATAAGGAACTGAGTACTAGCTGGAGCTATTTCCAAGATTCTACATGCAACTTGGGATACCACAAAAAAAAGGAAGATTTCAGTAACAAGATCAAGTGACAAAGCAAGACCAAAGAAGCATTTTCTTTTTAGATATAGAAAGCAACCAGCATGTGTAATTAATTAGGTCACTCCATCACAAAGGCAGATGACAGAAATGGCAGGAAGGATTAGTTGCTCCCACCTCCAAATAATGCAACAATATAAAACTCACTAACAAATAAGCAAAAAGTCAAATAAAGAGGAGCATAAAGCAAACTTCATTCTCCACAGATTTCCTAACAATATTAGATAAAAATCCAGCATTTTCTGAATGTATCTGAAACAGACAAGGACTCAGTGAGGTGCACTTAAACGAAAGGGACAGCGCCGTAGTTGGCTTTGCTTGTAAGAGAGCATCACGTTCTGCAAAAATACAGAGGAAGAGAAAAGAAAAGCACTGTTTTTGAGGGAGGCAGAGATCTGGAAGACTTACAGTAGAAAAAGCAACTAAAGAATGGGAATAAAGATCTTAGATGCACAGGCAATCCATTGTTTTATAAGGCAACCACCACAGCAGTCGTGATGTCAGAATAAATTCAGTCATAGCCAACAATTAATACTGTGGGGAAGAAAGCTGAGTCAAGAAGATGATTGTAAAGGAACTGTGTTTGATCATCAAATCACTCTGAAATAAGGAATTAGTCTTAGATGTACTAGACAAATCATGAAAATGAAAGAAAGCAAAGAAAATGTAAACTGAAACAGTAATGAGCTTTTGTGTATTAAACACATTTAACATTAATATTCCTGTGTTGTGCTGTTACTCTTAATGTGAACTAGTAAGAGAAATTAAAGCAAAGCAAGCAATAATTAACTCTTTACACTGGACCAGTGACTGAACTCTGGCACTGGTGTAACTTCATAAAATAAGAATATTTTCCAAGGAAGTTGAACTGCACCAGCAGAATGACCAAAGCCTTATTTTCTGCACATCTCCACATACTTTATATCCCATTTCTCCCCCTCACACTTCTTATTCCTCCTGTGATACCACACTCTCTCTTCTCCCTAATATCTCTAAGCATTTCCTCCTCTACATCCACTTTGGGGGTGCTCAGGGCTGGAGGGACGCGTTAGCAGTGCACTAAACGGGCAGCCAGCTGACCACAAGCAACGTACTGCTAAACTCACACTGCTGTTAATTCCTCCAACGGAGGCACTAACTGGGGTTTTCTCCACTGCCCAAACCCTAAAGTTCACAAATAAAGCAGAACATCATATCCGTAAGACCTTGCTCCTCTGCTGAATTTTCATGAAACCGGACAAGTTAAGAAGTTATTAAGGAGAGGCTGAGAAACATAGAACAATTAAACTAATTTCTTTAGAAAAATAGCAAGAAAAAAATCTTTCCATGTGACCATAATACTAAATTTCAGGAATAGGAAACATGCGAGGTTTTTTTTGGTGAGCTACCCACACCTGTAGGACATCACACTACCCCATAGTTGTTTTTCACAGAAAGAAAAGAAAGGAGACCACACAGTAAAGATGAAAAGATAGAAGTTAATATTTTACAAAGCACACTCATCTCCAATTTGGCAATGCTGCCACGACAGAACGCATCCACCAAACCTAGTAAACCCATGCAGACCAAAAATAGCTCTCCTCTGCTAGAGGCAAATGGTGTGAGCCCAGTCAAACATGGTATCAGGTTTTGTCAGAACTACTTCTCCTCAGGTTCACAAATTAGTATTTTAAAGTACCCACACAACTGTAGGAACAGTTACAGACCAACACAAATGTTTAGGATGAAACGGTAATTACTTGGAACAACAGATATTTGGAAATCTAGGAAAGCCCTTTGTTCAGTATGCCATCTTATTCAGATGATTTTTTTTTTTTAAAGAAAAAGGACGCAAACCAAGAATCACGCCCACTCCCAAAATAATTACGAGTATGTAACAGCCCAAAACATACTAAGCAATATGGCTCTTAAATACACAGCAACAGTTAAAATCTTTTTATAGATACACGTTAGAAGTACTACATACGGCTCCTCAAGTCTGTGGTCAAGATGTGCTTAGCAGCAATCAGCAGCTCCTTCCGGAGGTGTGCCGTTTCAGCTGGACAATTGGAGAGCAACTGCAACATTCCTTTTACCATTTGCTGAGAATATTTAGCCACTAATTCCTACAATAAAAAACCAACGCGAATACAGTTATTATGACAGACTATTTTAAAGCTTTGCTTTACATCTGCAAAACAGCATTCAATACAAATTCACTTGTTTCTCTAGGAAGTCTACTTGGAAAAATAAAATGCCTGGAGCGGAGGAACGGCACATTTTTACTTTGCATTCCCAGGAGAATGCTTCTGAAAGGCCAACCAAGCATAGCCCAATCTCCAGATTTGCTACACACACTCCTCTCTCCAACCCGATGCACGGCAGTCACGCTGGTCACCCGCCTACCGTAAGGGAACTAGAGACCGGTAAGTTCTGCCAGAGTAACAAAATGCAACCTACCTGGTAAATTCTTATGATGTAAGCCAAAAAAGACAACGTTTTAATTTGAGCAGCGATAAAATCAGCATACAATTCCTTGTTATAAAGTTTGTGTTGTCTGAAATGAAATTGAACAGTGGTTACGATTTTGTTCCTCCTCTTTAATACCTTTGCTCAGAAAATTCACAGCAGTGTCAAATTACATCATCTTGTAGCGAGGTTCTTGCTTCATAAGGCAATAAAGTCATTGTGGGAGAGCACGTTTTCAACAAGCCATTCAAATTTCCAGCGACTTATGCTCTAAGCAGAAACGCACAGCCCTGAGACAACTGTGTAATTCTCAACTTGCTGCAGAAAGCCAAGACATTAGCACTAAACATTTGGCTCCGTTCCCCTAACTGGGGCAGTTTTTTTCTCCAAACAATATTCCTCCCACAGACTGGTCTGTCTCCCTCAAGCATCAACCACTTCCATCAGATCATTTGGGTAGAAATGGAGAGACAGATCTTGCTCCTGCTGCCCTGCGACATCACAAGGCTTCACCTAAGGGATGCCTTGTAAGAGCAAAGATGCACAGCAAGCATTTAACAACAGCAAGTGTCCTAGATAACACGGTCTCCATCCCCTATTATCTGTAGCCATATGGATCTCCGTCAGAAATTCCATTTAAAAAATGCATTATCAAATAATCAATTTGGATCTACTGCATAACTATGGATTTTATCAGTGACAGATAATGGAAATACTGAGATTTGCCAATTACTTCACCTACAAAACTTGGACAATTTTAAGTCAAATAATCATTGCTACTTTTGGAGATTAAAAGCAGTAAGACTAGAACAAAAAAAAAATTTAAAAATCACAGAATATAAAACAAAAATACTTGGGGCAATACTGAATGCAGCTTTAAGCTGAAAGGGAAAATTATCCCAAACGTCATCAAAATACTATGAGAATGCTCTTACCTTGCTTGCACAGAAACCTGGATTATAATAGTGTTCATAATCAAGGGCACAAATTCAGCTACTACATTATGAATGTTCAGTTTGTAGAGCTTAAAAAGAAATTAAGTATTATTAGAGAAATGTACAAGTCATGCTCACAGTCAATTTATCTGACAGCTAATCAGAAAAAATGAAGAAATCTCAGCAGCTTCTTTTTAGACTATATTTTCATCTCAAAAATGCATTAAATTCACGTTTACTAATATGTTACCCAGCAGAAGTTACACAAGCCATCGAGTAATAAAGATTTACATGCAAAATACTGGAGTACACTAACCTGATACATAAGAACAACAATAATAGGTAGCTCAGCCAAGACCTTGAGAGATAAAGATCCTCTGGGAATTATAGAATGCTGAAAAAAAGCATACATGTTTTACAAACAGTTTAATTATTAATTCAAAAAAGTATTTGAAATACATTTTTAAAGAAACTGCTCACCTTAATAGCACTACATTTAGTGATAATAACACTTTAAAAGCACAAAACCATTTGGTATTGTATTAAATAAAACCCGTGAAAAGTAAATCAGGTTCTGCAAATAAGTCTTGGTAAGAGAAACAAGCAAAATGAAAGCTTATTACCTCTGCCTGCCCTTGTGAGTTGGGGTACTGTGAGAGAGTCTCACCGTTACAGAGCAGCTAGAATACTCACTGTTCTCGTTTCACTATCTTCTCGCTCAGGGTTTACTTTCACCACAATTGTTGTAATCATGCCAACCATTTCAGGAGTAGGAACAGTGTTCTCTGGAATCACCTGAGGATTCTCAAAATACCGATTCTGCAAGTAAAGAGAAGAAGGAAAATATAACAGTAATAGTCCAAAGGCCATTTATCTCATTAGAATTCCCCTCCATATAATTTTTTCCTCACAACTTACTGCAGAGTCTTTTCTGCTCTGCACATGACATTTACACCGCAGCACCTACCAGAAGTACACACGTACCCTGCAATCTTCCACTCCCTCTACAGCAAGGGGCAGAAAAGCACCTCCAACCGAGGTGGTTCTTTTGCTAAAGAACAACATCCAGACATCCTGTATCAGCGAGGAAGAGCAGGCAATGGCCCCAACAGAGAACTCTACCTGCTGGAATGTACATCACGTTACCCTTCCCTCAAAAATCCCATTTGGCTACACAGGCACCACTTCAGCCAACTGACCGCTGCTTTATTATGCAAGTTTACTCAGTTCTCTCATACTAGTAATATTGTGCCAAAAACAGGAGGTTTTCTAATTCAAAATCTGAATGTCTCCATTTTTAGATGTATTTCTGTTAAATATTTTTGTTAAAACTGTATTTACTTTGAATCACTGGATACAAAAAAGTAATTAATATAGAGATAAAAGAAATAAAAACTACTTTTCTTATTATAAAAAGGGCAATTTAAGAAATAAAAATCTTACCACTACTTTTGGAAGTTCCTTGTAAATCTGTTTCACAAAGTCCAAAAAATGATGGATCTAGGGAGAAAAATGTCTGTTTACCATAAAAAAAAGTACCTACTTTTAGATTCTCTGTATTAATAGCACAATCACATAAAATCTTTAGTCACCACCAGAGCATATTTTTCATGATGCTTACGAAGACAATGAAAGCATTCCCCTATTTCCTTCTGTTCTGCCAACAGTAATTTGAACTGCTCTTGGAAAGGATCCCATTCACCTGTCATTTCAACATATTTCCAATACACTATTCTTAGAAATAATTACTATAAACCAACCAAGCCTTCCCAGAAGAAATATCAAGGAAGAAAAGCAACAGAGTAAAAATGGAAACTTTCAAATACTCCTTCGTGAGTCACAGGAGAGAATAAAGGGGCAAGGTACGGGGGAAGACAGGCATAATATTCCTTTCCCATGGTTTTCCCTTCACAACCTAAAAAGGCACCAATTCTCCTCCCTTCTGTGAGAATTTTATTCCTTAGTCTGACTATATTGCCCATAAACACTTAATGCAAAAACCATTAGGCTTTAACAGTGGGGGTTTTTCCCCCCACCGGAGGTGCTAGCACCATGCAATCCTCTTAAAAATTACTTAAAGGTAAAAAAAAAAAAAGTTAAATATATGGTTACCACAAGGGTCAGCCAACATAAAGGGACAGCAGGAAAAAACAAACCCACCCATCTGAACAAAATAACAATGCTGAAGAGCATGGCATAAGTTCCACGTGACAAGATTCATAACCTACTTCTTGAGTGATGGCTGGTCGGAACTGTTTGTGCAATTCAATAATTATCCGTAAGCAAATCAGGACGTTTTCTTCATTCTCCGTCTGAAAAGAGAGACCCCTTAGTGAGCGTACTGCTGCATTCTACAGTCACTCTCTAACTACTTCAAAACCCTATAAAATTATACTCAGCAGCCTACAAGTGCCACATTAACATGAATTTGCATGAGCAAGATGCCTTTCCTTTGATGTAATTCTAATTCCCAGCCTTAGAGCACGGCTAAAATGAAATTCACACCTCCTGGAAGAAAAACCAGGAGTTTCCACCAATTTTCTGTGGGCTTCAAACAACAGTGTTTTCCATGCCAAGTAAGAAACATAACATCTAGAATAAGGTTTCTGCATTTACATAAGCCAGAGAAGTGCTCATGAATGAAATCCTGGCTAGCATGAGAACATCTCCTTGCATTTGCAAAATCCAAGTCTTAAGGGCAGCAGAGAACATGCAGAAAACCTGCAGACAGTGAGATATCACACTGGTGAAGCCGATACAGAACACCCTTCCATTCTTGCTCCAGAAGCACAGATAGTCACAATCCTAACCCCAGCAATTTCTGGAGATGAAGAAGTAAGAGGAAAATGTTTCTGAAAATCTGAAAATGTTTTAAGAAAAAAAGCTATACCTCTAGAAATCTAAACATCACTGAGAGGATATTTTTGGTATGAAGACGAAGATGTTCATTTGTTGGTATCCTGTGAATTATTTCAAGCACGAGCTTTCGGAGTTGCTGTAAAAAAAAAAAAAAAAAGGAAAAGAATAAAGATAGGTTAGGACTTCTTAAAAGCCCACAAAAAACAACACTTGGTTGCAACATCTTTTCAGCTTAATGCTTCTGCATGCTTAAAAAGGAAAAAAAAGGTGTTTTACTCCTGGTACACATACACTTATATCCAAACACAAAACGCTTCCTAGTACCACGAATGCGAGCAAGGCAAGTTCAACAAGTCTACAGGTGGAAAACGCGAGCTGTCAGACTTCTTTAAGTAACTCGATTTTAAGTGTTTAATGGCATAGATTCAACTTTTGCCTTTCATTCCACAGGCAAGTCAGCAATTTGAGACATCTCTTATTTCGGTCAGAAGGTCAATTCTGCTGCACTTTTTCACAAAGCCCAGATTTGCAAAATCTGTAACTAACTTACCTGGTCACTTAAAATACCCAACATGACTTTAAATTTCAGTCCAAATGACAGATCTGTTTTTAACAAGAAGGTCTATACGCAATTCAGTTCATTAGGTTAATCAAGTACTTCACTGACCAAGTAGGCTGGTGCAAAAAGGTAAGAGCAGAGCTTACCTGTGCTGGCTTCTCCTGCAGAAACTGAACTTCTCCATCCTGCAGAAAGGTCAGAAACCTAGGGATGATGTGTTCCAGGAACGTAGAATATTGAGGGGACGATGTCACATTCTAATTAAGAACAATTAAAAAAAAAAAAATGGGGAGACAGATATAACAGACTGTCTATAGACAGATATAAAAGACTATACACAGATGATAGTACGTTACGTTCAAAGCCACTAGTAAACATTTTCAGGGATTTTTAATAGATTCAGTGATTATGCATCTGCTGAGACACTACAGAGCTCTATCAGTGAAGCAAACAAAAGTGAATATAAAATCATCTCTTTCCTCCAATCCCAATGGACTGCAATGGGGTTTTTTTTCTATTTTTAACACTGTCACCTCACACAGAAAATAAAGTTGGCTTACATACAGCTATTTTACATGGGAAAAACAAAACCGAAGACTGTACATGTCCTTGAAGAAGACTGACAAGCACACTCATACATATTTCACTGCTCTAGTATTCCCAAGACTTTTCAGCCACTGTTAAACTGACATTTTAGTTATTTCTGCAAATACATGTACATGCATACATCACCCAAACTGAGCATTACTTTCCACTGTGAAAACAAACTTGCACTACTGTTCACTTTTGAAGTCAGAATAAATATCAGATGAGCAAGCTTTCTCTATCTGCAACTACTGCATCTGCCTTAAAAAAAACCTAACTTGGCCACTGTGAGGTTTATGTGGACACTCAGCTTGGTTTACAAACATGCTGTTAGGCAACTCTCTGAAGCCTCTGTGATACAGCAGCACACTGGTCTGTTGATAAAGGCACAGATGAGAATGCACAATTCTACTGAAAAATCTACACAGGTATTTCAGGGGTTTATTCATATTATTTCTTCAATAACAGAGAAGTTCTATAATGCTACCTCCTTTTATAGATTTCCACTACTACTCTCTATTTTGCAGTAAGATTTCACAGCACACAACCATAAATCACGGTACACTAAGCACACAAAAGTTTTTTTAATCTCAAGGGCTTTCAAGAAAGCAGACAGGTATCATAAGGGCACAGAAAGTATGTTAAATGCATGTGCTGGTTTTGGCTGGCACAGAGTTAATTTTATTCACAGTATCTAGTATGGACTAAGCTTTGGATTTGTGCTGAAAAGAACGTTGATAATACAGGGATCAAGGCCTCCGCAGCTCCTCACCCCACCCCACCCACGAGGAGGCTGGGGGGCACAAGAAGTTGGGAGGGGACACAGCTGGGACAGCTGACCCCAACTGACCAAAGGGATATTCCACACCGTATGGCATCATGCTCAGTGTATAAAGCTGGGGCAAGAAGAGGGAAAGGGAGAGATGTTTGGAGTGATGGCACTTATCTTCCCAAGTCACTGTTACGGGTGATGGAGCCCGGCTTTCCTGGGGATGGCTGAACACCTGCCTGCCCATGGGGAGTGGGGAATTAATTCCTTAGTTTCTTTGCTTGTATGCATAGCTTTTGCTTTACCAATTAAACTGCCTGTAACTCAACCCAAGAGTTTTCTCATTTGTGCCCTTCTGATTCTGTCCCACATCCCACTGGGGGAGTGAGTGAGCTGCTGTGGTGCTTAGATGTCAGCTGGGGTTCAGACAGGACAGTGCAAGACAGGATATTATCAACAGCAGGTTAGCCCACATCGTCACCTCAAAAGTCTCCTAAAGCAAGTCTGTCTGTTTCTTCTCTTCCTCCACCTGGCCTATAGCCTTTCCAATTTTGGAAGACTCTCAGCCTCCCCAGCTTTATGGTCCATGAGAATGGTCCTTGGAAGGACCATTGAAGGAAGAAAGGAAGGAAAGTTTCCAATGAGAAATGAAACATGTATTGCTGCATTCTTGGAAAGCAGCTCATAAATCCATTCACGGAAAAGTGTACCTTCACAAACCCAGCCTAAACTTCTGAAAACACCTTCCCAACATCTCTGCTAAGAGCAGAAAACTAGCAGCCCTCTTGGTATCTATGAACCGCTGCTCTGAACCACACAAGAAACTAAAGCCCCCAACTACTCTGACCAAGTTCAGAATTACACTCCTGGCACCAAACAACAGCAGCAATGGAGGTTGATTCTGGAAGCTTTTTCTCATCCAAAACAGAGACCAAAAAGACAGCAAATACACTCCTCTCACATTTTGAAAGCCAGAATCTCCGTTAAAAAAAAGGAAAAGGAAAAAATTCCCCCTCAAACAAATAATTTCTGAGAGACAAGATTCAAAACCATCAAACTTTTCCACCCAGAAATTGGTTTAGAAGAACAATATTCTCTGCCCTAACAGCTGGCACCATCAAGCAGATAAACATGGTGAAGCACCTCAGTTTTAAACCTCACTTGGAGAAGTCCTCCACAGTGATCGTGTTCAGTTGAACCCATAACTAGAGAGAGATCCAGATCAATAATGCAGCCAACAGAATTTGAATGCTGCAATTTTCAACAGCTAATTAGTTACCCAAAAAAAAAGTGAAATTTACAGCTATTGGAAGCTGAAGTACGCAACAAAGAAGAGTTAATAAAGAGACTATGGAAACAGAAGATGAAAAGAAACCATCTAGCACAACACACAATACTGTCCACAACCTCCAACGGAAAAATGAAACTGAAACTGTATTAGCAGTTCCTGTTGATCCCTCAAATATTTCCCAACAAATAGATCTGTACTTCAGCGTAAGTCAATTCACCACCTCTTTAGGGGGATCACGCTACAGAACCCAGCGAGTTCCAAGGGAAGAAAGCTACTCCATCTTGAACGTTAGGAAAGCAAATATTGAACAAGTTCTTCCCTACTGAAGATGAGAGTGAAGAGAATTAGCTAAGACTTCAGATTTTAAACAGATTGCTGGACTAAGCTGTTAAAACTAGTCTTTCACTCAGGTAACAAATAGAGCTGGGTTGCATCTTTGAAACAAACAGATAGAAAAGCTCCACAAGGATATTTTTAGGTAGTGACTTATGGGCAGTATGAAGTTCTGCTCACCTGTGTGCATACAGATGCAGAACTGTCACAGACATCTACTTAGTTGCTTACACACACTAAGTGAAAATTAGGCCTTTTAACTTTTTCTTATAATAGTTGTACTAGCTCTAAATTCATTCCACTACGTTAACCTGAATTAAACAAAAAAATTCACTAGACAGCAAATTCCACCAGTAACTCAGAAACAACTAAAACTGGCTCACCCTTGCACATCCAGCACCTGCTAGATATAACTTTGCAAAAAGCTTACATAAAATATCCAAAGACATTAAACACGACTAGAATGCGTATTTGTTTCTCTCTCAGGGACTAAGTGAGATTACTTCAAATAAAGCAGGTAAGGACACAATGTGTTACAGCTGTAGCACTTTTTTTTAATCACAAAATGACTAAAAAACGAAATACAGAGAGAATTACAGTGATTCTAAAATCTTGAAGTTAAATAACAAGTTCTCTATAATTTGAGAACAGACACATAATAATTAAGTATTCAGCTAAACTATAATTTCTGCTACTGCGTTTGGCTTAACCTGGGTCTCACTTTTTTCTGATGTTCATCTAAACGTAATGGTCCATCACTACACAAAAGGTGTCACTGGAGCCATCCCCTCTCCTGATGTCAGATTCTGCATCCGAGAACTCCCCCCTCGATTCTTATAATACAGAACTACTCAGAGGAATCAGAGGGGCCTCTGTCTCATGAGGACACAATACACATTAGAACTAAATAAAAGAAAGTTCCAAATACAGAGATTTCATATGATTCAACAGAATGGAAGAAAACTCTATTACTTCACCTTTATTTAATGCTTACTGAATAAAGACTAGATAATGAACGAGCCCCCTAAGTCCAAATGTTGTAATTCTTCAACAGCCAATTCCTAAATACAAACCTAAAGTCAATTACTTATAACAATATAAATCATAAATCACAATATATTAATATTTTAGTGACATAACATCAGAAATCAAACTGATACATGTCAAGGCCATGGAAGACTGCCATTCTGGAAGGTTGGGGTTTTTGGTAGGGTTTTGTTGCCTTATTGTTTGGTTGTGGGGGTTTTTTTATTTACCTCAAAATTCTCACTGACTTCTTGCATCATTTTCAGTTTGGTTTCATCAGCTGAAAATGGAAATTAAAGCAAAAAAAATTAAATGCAAAACTACATTATGAAGGAAAACACCACGCTGGCTGACCAAAGAAGCAATCAGATCTTATCAGTTTAGCTATCACTGCCCAATTATGAGGCACACAATTCTCACACACAGCCCTGTCACACACGCACGCAGCTCGCTCACTTTGGCTCATGCAATTGTTACTCATCACTTTGCTTCTTCAAAAACCAAAACTCAAACAAAATTCAAAGTGAATTCAGCAGACCTTTATCAACTCTCTACACTGGGTTGAAGTGTCTACAAAACAACTACTGAAGAACTATCATTTTTGGTATTTAAAAAAAAAGTATCTTACGTGTATTGACATCTGTCAGAGCAGCCACAAACTGAAGGTATTTCTTCATCAAAGTGGTTTGGTCCACCACCGTAGGCCCTTGTGCTGAAACGAATGCCATCTTGGAGAAGGATCAGCTTTCAGTACATAAACTCAAGACCAACACACCTACAAAAAAGAAAGATTTGTTCATAGCTATGGCTGGTTACCAGCTGCTATCACATCACCTACATCCATTCCGCTGACGGCATGCACAGGCCGTGCCTCTTCCAAACCCCACCCCTCTCGTTCCGTTCGGCTTACGGATCCAACGGCTGCCGTGTCCAGCACTCGCACCCCAAGAACACGGGCAGCGGGCTCCGCACAGCGTAACGCTCACCCTTTGCTTCTGCGAGGAGCAGCAGGCTCAGGGATGCTCCGGCACCAGCTACCCTGCCCAGCACAGCTGCCCCCGGGCGCCCCCGGCAGCACCCACTCCCGGAGGGGCAGGAGGTGTCCCGTGCCACG